TAAGTAAACTCCGAGACCTTCTCAAATTTATGAAGCCCAATATTGACTGTATTGCCTGGCATGGGAATTTCATTTGCTACCATATATTTTGTTTTTCTTTGTAGGTCTTCATCAGGGCGTTGGATGTAGCACTGCAGGAGGCAGTTGAAACACAGTGTTTCAACTGCCTCCCGCAGTGCTACATCCAACGCCCTGATGAAGACCTACAAAGTGGGTCGAAATGTCGGCAAAAATTAAATAATTCTACTTATTTAATTTAGTATTAATTTGACCGCACCCCCCGATCAACTCCTTCTCATATTATATCAACGGTCAACCATCTCTACATCATTAAAAAAGTGAAGGATGTAATAAATGTAAATATAAAACTTACTTTGTATTAAAAAATTCCTTGTAAAAAAATAGTTTAATAAACAATGTTCACATATAAATATTAATACACTGACAGGCAAAAAATTCCTGTCAGTGAAAGGGAAATGTCCCTTTGCTGGAGGATAGCCCATTCCTCCCGAAGAACCCATTTCAAGATCCTGCAGTGTATCAGGAAGTGTTGCACGCGCTCTTATTCATCTTCCGAAGTTATCCCATAAATGCTCAATGGGGTTCAAATCTGGAGAACCTGCTGGCCAGGCTAAAATCTCAATATTGTTCTGTTGAAGGAAAGTCTGCACTATGCGGGCGACATGTGGGCGTGCATTATCGTGCATAAGAATAGAACGATCGCCGATTTTGTTGAGGATAGGCAACACATGAGGTTCCTAAATCTTATCTACATAGCGAATGGCCGTCAAAGACCCTCCACGAACAACAACCAATTCTGTGTGGCGCTCCATTGAAATCACAGCCCACACCATTAAGGAACCATGTTAGAAAGGTTGGCTCCGGGAAAAATTACAGGCTGCCTATCTTTCGTTTCTTCTTCTCCACACCCTTTCACGCCCGTCTGGAGATCGAAGAGCGAATTGTGACTCATCTGTAAAAAGTACAGCACTCCATTCGTCCATAGACCAATGGCTGTGTTCTCGAGCAAAAGCCAGCCGTGTTACTCTGCGAGTTCTGGTCAACTCTGGTCCTCTTACTGGACGAAAAGCCATTAATCCATATTCATTTAATCTTCTCCGAGCGGTACGTTAAAAATTTCGAACTTCTTCAAGCTGATGAATCGCTTGAACAACGCTAAGGTGCCGGTTTCATAAAATTCTCAAAAGTCAAAAGCCGGTCATCCCGTGGTTCTGTTACCCTAGGCCGTCCAGAACCGGGCTATTGCAAGAACCAGTTTCCCGAAAACGTCTGACGTCATCTCGTAAAGTTTCATATGGACCTCCGATGGCATTAGCCAGCCGCATATCTAATGGAACGTCCATCATCAATAAGTGCTACACCACGTGCAACATCCTCAGCACTAAGAGGCATTTTTAAACTTAATATTGAAAAAATTAAAAGCCGGAGACTAAGAAATGTGCTGCAAGAAACGGCACTGAACTAATGATACTGAATAAGCATTTTGATTCCATAGAAAGTAAACATTGGAATCTAGAATCATTTCATTGAATTAAGGATTAAGAGTTATTGTCCTCTATATTAACATTCCTAATTGAAAAAAACGAAAAGATTACCTATTTATTCATTAAAAACAACAGACCAATCCAAAGCAGAAATATTTTTAGATGAAAACATGAAAAAATCAAGTGGGTGGAATTTTTTGCCTGTCAGTGTAATTCAAACTTTGTACTAAAAGTATAAAATCAGATTTGTAAAGCAAGTTTTAAAATTTGAAAAAAAAATTGCATACAATTATAATAATGATAATTTGCATCTGTTGAGTGACAGCTTATGTATCTTGCAAATTTATCTTTTTCTCTCATTTCTGGCTTATAGCTGTAGTGATGTGATATCGCCAAGAATCAGAAATTATTCTATGTGAGTCATGGTCTTCAGTATTCCTTGTAATAATTTGTAGATTTTCTGATCCATTTATGTACAACACATTCAGTTTTATCCACCATCATTGCAAAGTTAGCAAGTTCTCTTGTATCAATGTACGTAAATATGTTTGATCTAAGATATTTTGATGCAACTGTTTGGAAAGATCCATGAGTCAATGGAATATCTTCCCATTCATTTTTAGTTGATTAAAGAACTTAAGAAGTATTAGATACTTCATATTGAAGATAGGGACAAAAAAAGTATTTTTTTTTTTTTTGTAATGGAATTATTGATTTAAATGGATTTAGAATTTAAATCTATATTCTTCTATGGATTTGGTATTCAAAAGTAATAGAAAATAAAAATAGACATTGTTTATTGAATTTATTTTTGCACATTCCAAATCCATGGAAGAATATAAATTTTTCAGCTACCTACAAGAACGCAGCTTTTCAAACTGAACCATTTATACCAAGTACTCATTTTAACAAAATATAAAAATGAAAATAGATAGCGCCAAATTCTAAAATAAAAATTTGCCATTGATGGAATAATTTTGACAAGTTGTTCACTCCTTTGTGACTTTATGTTTTCCATGTCAAATTAACTGTTTAGTTATGTTTTCCATGTCAAATTAACTGTTTAGTAAACATTCATTTTAGCTCTATTATAAGATTTTGAAAAATAATCATGTATAATTTTTTTGTGTAGATGACAGAGGAGAATGACTGTCTCCTTAAAGAAACAGAACAAAAAGAAGAAATAAACACTTCAGAGCAAGCCTGCGCAAAGACATTAACTTCACACCCACTTCCAGTCTTGCATTCCCAACACCAATCCTCACCGTCTCAGCCAACAGCCTTTCAGCCTCCCAGGCCGATCAATTTTACAAATCAACAGAGGAGAAGAAGGAAGGGAGGTCTTCAGAGTCAAAGAAAAAAGAACAAATTTGTATCGTTAGATAATGCTGTGAATTTACTAAAAAATGTTGTTTTGCGGTCACCATTTACCAACGAATTTACCATTTTTGGCTATCATGTTGCTTCACAATTAAAAACCCTTCCAAATGCAGAAGCTCTACAGTTGCAAGCCAACATACAGTCACTCATTACTGCTCGTGTGAAATATCTACAGAATAGATCCTTACTTGTGAGGGAACCCTCCACTACGAACTGTTCAACCTCAGAATATGGAAAAACACATGTCACCCTTTTTTCCAATTGTCCACTAGTCAAAAGTGAAGTACTTTTGTAATAATTATGTACTCAAACTTTCTTTATATTGTGTTACCAAGATTTGAAATTAAAATGTATGAACATACAAACCCTTATCTTTATAAATTCCTTCATTTATGGCAACAAAAAAAAATTATATATGTTTGTTTGTGATTAAAGATAAGAGTAAAAATGTCCTTTTCAAGCACTTTGGGACTTTTAAGTTTAGAATTAAGCATTGCGATATATAACCATAACTACGATCCCATTCTACTTGCAGACTTTGCTGGTGATCAAGAAGTTACAGCTTGCAGTGTTGAAGCTGGGGAGAGGACAATAAATTGCATTCAAAATATTCTTTATGAGTTAGGACTGTCCATAAACCCCCAAAACAGTTCTGGAATCATCTTAGAGAAGGGAAACTTAGTAAAATCAAGGTTTCACTTAGATACCGGAGAGTTAATCAGATCCATTGAATACCTTGGGTGTAGGTTCTCTGGGAAACTATTGTTTGATGATGGTTCTGTGGCAAAGTAACGAGAAATACGGAAACATTGGTTAATTAGAATCTCCATACACCAGAACAGAAGATTAATATTATAAACTGATATGTTTTCCATCACTAATATACCCACTGCAAATGACACCATAGGCGAAATTTCTCCCATCGCTATTGGAGTCTATAAACATCATACTGTGGAGAAATGTTGAAGCAATGGTAGGTTTACCAGTCAGCACTTGCTCAGCGATGATCAATACATTGCAGCGATACAGGGGCTTGGGTCTTTTGTGTTGTCAAGGGCATCTTACCATCCATGCCCATTAGAAACCAGCCTTCAGAGCTATTCATGAATTAGTTTACTGCCAAAGTTCCTCACAATAGACATACTTGAGAGCAGCTCTAAATGTAGCCTTTGTAATTAATGCTGTTATACATAAGAGGAAAATGTCAATGTGAATGGTATATGACAATAAAGAAAAATTAATTTTAACAAATATTTAAGCATTTTCAATTGTATAAATGATGGAAGTATATGAGCACTACGAATATTTGTTCTTGAAAGATAATATAATATAAGAAGTCACAAGTCTCATATGATGTTTATTGTATCATCTATTTAATTCTTGTAATCTAAGACACATTAAAAATAATAAATCAGAGATGTTCTTTGATAAACTTTGGATACCTATAAGATAAGGCAGTCTATTTAATTTCAATTTGTTTGGTTTTTTAAATCAGAAGAAAACTTCATAAAACATGGTTAGGAGATTCGACGGGTATAAGCACAACCATGTTCTTGGAGAAATTCAAATGTGATAAATTAATTATTTCAATCATTAAGTTTGTTACTTAAGATTAGAATTTGAGTCTATTATTTTTATTTTTTGCCAAAATTCACATATTTGAAACTAAAGAAAAAAAAAAAAAAAACCTTTCGCTTCACATTAGGACATAGAATGAATGTTTGTAAAACAGTTTACCTCCAAGGTACTTACTCAACCATGACTGAAACAGGGGAATTTATAAAAAAGTGAACATACAATGGTCTTCAACTGATCGTTATAGACAAGGTAATACTTTAGTGAACAATAAATTCCAAAACAAATAATTAAAATTCATATGTACAGTAAATTTTATTTAGACGTATATACAATTTTTTTTTTTTCATAAACCTTAGACATATATTTTTTAACATATATACATTAATCATGTCTAAGTGACAAATTTTATAAAAAATGATTAACATTTATGGCAATTACGACAAAACATGTGATACATTAATACTTCAAAAATTGAACTAAGAAAAAATAATCAATTATATTTAATAAAAAAAATTATAAAAATCACCAAACCAAAGAGGTATATCAACTATAAATTATTACTTCATTTTCAAATTATTAGTTTTTCATACATCTTTTTCCATTTCTTTTTTTATTATGAATACCCTTATTTTAAATAATCTTTTTTTTTTCTGTTTTCAAAAAGTTATTAGTAATAGATATAATTGTAATTTCACACTTTCTAACAAAATTTAAAATCTAATGACTATAACAAGATAAAAATTTACATGTGTCATACTTTTAAATTATTAGACAAACCAACATGGAGTAGAAATCTAAAAAACAAAGTACTTTCCTTTTTAGTAGTATAATACATTTAAATGTTGGTAAAAAAACAAACCAAAAGGCACTTCATCTAAGGTGATTAATGAATATTGACTATTTTAACAAAAATGTTTCGCAACATACATGCTATTATCACAATATGATTACAGTCTATATCCTATACCGTAGTTTATCAATGTTATGTTTTCTTAAAAAAAACAAAAAAACTTTTATTTGAACGTTGAGCTAAAGAAGAAAAGACCAGAGGGTATTAATAATAAAATTGGTTGAAAACACATGATACTCAGCAATAATGCTATTATGCATGATTTAATACATACAAATAAAAATCCATAAAAATGTAAAAAAATATTATTAACTCTTACACAATCATACCTAACCATTTCGTGAAAGTAAATTATTCGATATCTTCAGGAGAGGGTAAAAAAAATAAAATAAAATAAAAAATTATTTAGAATGATTGTTATATACACTTTGCACACTTTAGTAACAATTCAATTCTCCTTTCACTGAAATAATGTAGTCATGTTTGAAGACTCATCAGAGAGGGAAAGATTTTATGTTTTAGCAGATTGGTTTCTATTTCCCTCCTAACAGATTACTCAGACCTCCAGTTGCACCACTGGCTCCTTGCTGAAGTTGCCGCATCATATTTTGTAATCCTGGCATCCCGCCTATAAACAATGAAAAATGTCAGCTAATGTATACAAATTTGAGCATTATAAATTACAATAATTATGATAACACCCTCTGTATAAATAGTGTCAACTTCACTCATATTTTTATATTCCAGCTTAATTAGTTTTGTTCTGACTGAAGAAACGTATTGGTTTCGTTAACTCCGAACAAATAAAAAGTTGAATATTTTCTATGGATTTTTTTTTCCATCCATTTTAAAACATACCTATATTAAGTATACATTACTACTGTTAGTGCAAAGGTCGTATGTAAAAGTTTTCAGGTTTTATTCTATTTTTGATATTATGTAGTCTACAATTGATATAAGTAGTCTACTACTATGAAAACTAGCAGAGGGCAATAAAATATGAAATTATACCTCTAAATCATGAAGAAATTATTGGTTTTAATGCTTTTCTGAAAAACACTCAATTTTTACATAAGATCTTTTGCACTAAAAGACTGATAAGCATGTTCAGTATGCCCTGGAATTTTTTGTTTCAATCACGAATTATCAAATATGCAATCTGCAAATGCGGGAGTTTTTCGCATTTCAGTATTTGCTGATAAACAAAACTCGTGGATATCAAGCCCGTATATGTTTAGGGATTACTGAATTTCCGAAAACGGCTCCTTTCAGAGATTTTATTCTCATAAGAAAATTTTTAGACCTTTTAATATAGATATTTTTTAGGAAAGGAAAACGGTGAGGAAACTATACTGACCTTACTTGGCAGACATTTTTTTTTAGTTTTCGAAAAAATGTGTATAACTGTTGATATAAAGTAGCACTTTCGGTTAGCCAATTTTAAGGAAAAAGGTACTGTAACATATCAGGTATATACAAACCTTAAATATGCAACTTTACTTTCATACTAATTTTCATATTTGAGCTAGACTATTCACAGACCATTTTGCAGGACTTGGTTATTTGAAGTAAGGGAACCTCAAAACGTGTATTTCTTTTGAAAACTCAGATTAAAAAATTTTCACGATCCCAATACTTTCCTTACTATATATTACATATATAGGTAAATGAAAATAAAAATGTTACCAATTATTACTCAATGTTTTATTATTTCCAAACAATTTAACATAAAAATTAACTTTCCTTTCCAAGTAATATAAAGAAAAATAAAAGGAGATTCCTAATATTGGCCTAAATATATTTTTCTTCTCATCATTGAAAATTAGCTAAAAAAAATTGACTTAATTGCTTTAGTTGATGTACAATTTTCGAAAACATACTCCAAGAGCAGTTGAACACCCTTAGTGCTCAAACCACGCCCTGAAGATGACCCACAAGGGTTGAAACATTGGCATAAATAAATAAAAAATAAAAAAAAAAATAATCTTTTTATAAAAAAAGACGGCGTCCTGAATATTTATCATCCATGATATATAGAACAGTCAACTAACTTCCTTCAATAAGAAAAATATGTAGAACACCATATTTTTGTATGAAATAACAGTAGATTACAATAAATTTTTGGAAATTTTGAAAAACTTTTAAAAACCATCAACAAATAAGTGTATATTTCTTGAGTTATTCAGAAATCTAATTTTATCACTCCTCATAACTTTTTTTCCAGCTTCTTTTCGTTGAAGTACATTATATAGATAAATTAAATGGGCATCGAGGAGAACTTTAGCCAAGTTTCATTGAAATTAGCACGTTTGTTTAGGCGCTGCAATCAATATCAACAGGTTTTTCGGGAAGAAAACGGCTGATCGTAATGTCGAGGTATTAGGATATATCCTCAGGTGACCTCTGACTTTGTTTCTAAATTTGAAAAAAATCGGTCCTGTTGTCTCAGAGAAAAGTAGCGTATGACAGACAAAATCTTTTTTATTCCATTTTTGAATTCTACTTATCATGAAAAGTAAAACCTCAAATTGTTTTTGGGGGGAGGGTTAAATTTTTTTGATGCTTACAATTGTTCATGATTGAAAATATTAAACCACAAAAGAATTATTTTAATGTGCTGGAAAATTGTAAAGCAATTTCAATTATAATAAATGCTTAACTTATATGAATAGTTAAGAGAAAAATAAAAATATTACATACCCATTTGGTGAAGAACCTTAGGATCCATCATTTTTGCCATTTGTTGATTAAGTTTTGCCATTTGGACCTGATTAACATTTTTGGCCATATCTCCATTCTTAAACAAGCCCTTGATACCACCCATTTTTTTCACAACAGCAGCGAATCTAGTATACTGGGTAATAAGATCTTTAACTTCTTTTTCTGTGACCCCAGAACCCTGTGCCACTCTTATTACTCTCCCAGGCTGCTTAGAAAACAACTTAGCTCCATCTTTATTGTCCAGTTCTATTTAAAATAAGCTATGAATTAATAATTAAACACATACTGGAAACGGCAATTTAATAATGATCAAATTCATAAATAAAATAGTAGATTATAAAAGAATACTGAAAATAAACTATAATATCCTAGGGGTGGATAGGAATAATAGCTGGTCAGGACGAAACCTCCCTTGTTATCTAATGTTACATCACATAATCTCCCTTCTTATCATGTTTATATTGTTTTTTTATATTTATGTTTCTTTTATACCCCTTTTAATGTTCATATGTTGTTTAAGTGTTTTTTATTATTTCATTTATTTTTGTCTATTTGATATATCTGTTTTAAAATTAAATTGTTTTGTTATTGTTGTGAGAATTATTACATTTCTTTTTGACTATTTCAATTTCAAATCAAACTGTTTTGTTATTATTACATTTGTTTTCGCCTATTTAATATATATGTTGTAAAATAAAAGTATTTTTTATTATTACATTTGTTTTTGTTTACAATTTCAATAATATGAATATAATACAATAAATATGAATACGGAGATAGGAATTATCAGTGCCTTATCAGAGTTAGGTTATAAACATTGGCAGATAGCAATCCATCCCGACCGGCTATTTAAGGAGTAGCGAATAACATTACAGCTCACCTCCATCATTCATACTGTCCATAATTGTCATGAGTTTTTTGAGACGGGCCATTGATTCTTGCTCGCTGCCTTTAGACAAAAAGTCCTGACTAAATCCAGGAATCATTCCCTGAAATTCACATTTATAATTTGAGTAATATCTAATACAATGCTAAACCTTTTTTATCAAATCATTCAGTTACTTATATACCAACCATAATCTGAGAAAATGGTCCCATTTTCATGATGTTTTGGAACTGTTCATACATATCTCGCATAGTAAACTGACCATGTTTAATTTTTTCAATTAATTCTTCATTATCATCAAGTTTTAGTTCATTAACTTTATCAATGAGACCTTCTATATCACCCATTCCCAAAAGTTTACTTATAAAGGGTTTTGTTTTAAACGGTTCAAGATCATCAATATGTTCTCCAGTACCAATAAATATAATGGGACTATTTGTAGCTGCAACCCTATAACAGCAACATCAAATTGGGTTAACAATTAACAAATAGCTTAACATATTTATTACTAATCGCTATCAAAAGATTGAATATTGTCTTGTTCTTTATAGCACATTTACATGCTATTAAACCATGTGAAAAAATGTCTTTTCTTTAGGTATATTAATAATAATAACAGGATTTGAGAGAAAATAGTTTTTTTTTTAAATAAATGTTACACTGAAATAGAGTAAATTTATTTATTAAGATATTTATCTATTTTAATAATAGATATTATAAGAAAAAAAGAGAGGATAACAAACAAAATTTATCAGATGGCATACCATGAAATAAGCTGGCTATAAACATAACATTTCTTAATAGCAAAAATATAAATAATAAATTATCTGGAAATAAAAACACACATAAAATTCTCCCGAATCAAATCTCACACCTTCAAAACATAATTATATTTAATTGATAAAAAATTGTTACTTTTTGAACAATCTAAGCAGTATTTAATATCTAAAAGTGAACCCTATTTCCTAATATATTATATATTTTTTTTTATAAAAATGGCACCAAATTCCATAACAAAAATACTTAACTTTCCGATTTCTTTTAAAGTTTTACATTTACTTCTTTATAAATATTTATTTATTAAGTCTTTCATTTAAAGCTGAATTTAAAATATAGACCTACCCCATACAGAATGTGGAAGAATTTTTACACATGCCTACTAAAATAATTTTTATGAGCTAAGTTGCAAAATCTAAAACAAAAAATTATAATAATAATAATAACCTATGAAGGGTATTGGATCCAATATTTAGTAAGCATTTTTCTCCAGATCATTGAATAGTTTGAAAAGACCAACTATATTTAAAATTATCATTATCTGGGATTTCATGTTCATTCTACCAAAAATATTAGAATTATTTTCAATCTTCAGAAAATTCACAAATCAATCAGTCATTTCTCATAAGTTTTATAAAGATTAAACTAAATAAGACCCTTTTGTTATTAAAGTAAGATAACACTAGTTGTAAAAACTAATATGTAAGTACTGTCAAATCATTCTCAGATTCAGTCATAATAATTTTATTAATGAGGCATTCAGGGCTCAACCAAGTCCATAAATTGCTGTTTTGAGATAATCGAGGTTAAAGTTTTTTAACACTAACTGAATACCTTTGTTTCATAGGATAACATTCCTATTATTGTAGAAGTATTAAGATTAATTTAAATAAGGATCATAATTTGATAATTAAAAAGAAAAAATTAGGGCATTAATTAACTTTGGTCCTGAAATGTTATGAATGGTTTTCAGAGGATAAGACAAATGTTGACACATGTTAGAAATAATAATAGCGGGGATCTGGTTCATTTTATCTCTTAAAGTATCAAACATTTACAAGATAAGAGCAAGGGATGGTGTGGCCGAGCAGGCTATCGTGTATGTAACGTATGTATTGTCTGTCAACCTGATAAATCAAAGATTAAAAGTCCGAAACCTGGTGTTGATAAACTTTTAACTCTGGCATAATTCGCCCACCATCATTCTTAGCCCGGGCATAACCCCATATAGCCTAAAAGGTGAGATAAAGAAGAAAGAAAAAAACAGATAAGAATTAATAAGTAAAGCCAGTGTGATAAGATACTAGTATGTTGTCTCAATAAAGATATGTTTAAATTTATCAGTTAATTTATACATCATAAAACTTACGCACTAAGGGCACCACCACCCTTTGCATGCCCGTCCAACTTGGTAATGATTACAGCTCCTACATCTACCTTTTCCTTGAAGGCTTTTGCCTGGGCTTCACAAGCTTGACCTATTGTGGCATCCATCACGAATATAATATTATCTGGTCTCTAAAACAATAAATAAGAAAAATAAATAGTACACATTAATAAAAAAGATCTTGCGCGGTTTCTACATCGCAAAATATTTAATTACCACCCTACCAAAGATAAATGAAAATTGTATTTGTGTGTGAGGATACAATTTGTTTGTGCTCATAATAAAAAATGTCCACTTGTATTTTAGATAGACATTTCATCGGTATTCTGATTTTAATGAAATTTTTAGACTGTGCTAATTATTACATATATATGATCCCACATCAATTTTATAAAATTTCATTCAGTACTTTATTGTCCATGTAAATTTATTTCGTTAGACAAGCTAATATTTCAAACAAGGTTTGTTAAATTTATATGCCGTATCAATTTTATTCACTACTCCCTCTTCCAAATACGTTATAACATTTGGAAGAGGGAGTAGTGAATAAAATTGATACGGCATATAAATTTAACAAACCTTGTTTGAAATATTAGCTTGTCTAACGAAATAAATTTACATGGACATATGTGAAAGTACTGAATGAAATTTTCCTTGATATTTCTATACGTCAAAAAAGGCTTGTTTAATTTGGCCTAAAGTTAGAGGAACTTTGGTAAATATTATACAAATTGTGGGGAATCCGTTATATTAAATTCCATTAAAAAATTTAAATTAATGTACCTAAGGAAAATAAGTTTATTGAATACACGATGGTTGACCATTGTATATTATTGAGGAAGAAGATGGTTCGGGGAGAAAAAATATTTTATTTCAAGCCAAAATAAAATATGGCAAGAAATAAATTAGTTTTTTCACTATTTTAAGTTTTTTTATGACCACCATCCCGGACCATCTCCTTCCCCAATAAAATAAGTTTTTATTAATACTATAGTTATATGTGATTATAAGATTTTAAACTGAATTAAAAAGTTTAATTTACATTGTAATCTGTCATTGAATCTAAGCGATAGGCATAACACCTATTTTTTTTAACTCGATTGAAAATTTAAAAGGATCGTGATAGTTTATACCTACAGGTCTAATATAGATATTATCAAATTCCACATAATTCTTTTACCAAGGCATGCATTTTTCATGATATGACTATACATGTCATGGAAATGACTTCTTCTATAAATTTTATTTTTAAACGACAACCCTAGACATTGAAATATACATAATTAAACAACAGAAATGGAGAGGAAGCAGCACTCATCCTACTTGGCAGTCTTTTCTGGGTAATGTACATATGATAAAAACAAAAATTGAAAGCAACAAAAACTTGCGAATACTTAATAAAAATGATGAGTATAATTCTACACCTAAATGAATATAATAATTTAGAGTATACTAAGACAAATTAATGGAATAAAATTCAGCAAATGCGTTTAAATTAAATAAAATAGTGACATACATGTATATTTGTAGAAGAGATCATTTTAACGAGAAGACTAAGACGTCTAGTGTATACTTCAAAATCCGAACATAATTTTCATTATATAAATCAATCAAGAACTTACAATAGCATTAGAAACTTGTAACATCTCTTCAAAGAGAGATTCTTCCTGCTTATGTCGGCCACTGGTATCAACAATAATTATTTCAAACCCTTCTTTTTTAAACATATCCACACCGTCTTGAGCAATAACAACAGGATCAATTTCAGTGTAACTGAAATTAAAAGAAATTAATAACTTAATAAATAAAATTAAACAAAAAAATGATTAAAAAATTATCACCTTCCATAAAATGGAATCCTCGCCTTAGTTGCATTCTGTTTTAATTGATCGTAGGCACCAGCACGGAATGTATCAGCACATACAAGACAGGCTTTCCAATTTTTTTTTAAATAGTGATAAGCTAGTTTAGTACAAGTAGTAGTTTTTCCTGAACCTTGAAGACCGACAAACATAATAACATTCGGCTTTCCTTTAGTAGGTTGAAATGCCTTCACACCTGGATCAACAAGCTAAAACAAGGATAGATTTCAAACATTAAAATATAAAATTTAAATTTTCATCTTCAGAGATTTGAACGTAAATAACTTACTTTTACTAATTCTTTAAAAACAGCACTCTGTATCATTCGTCTTTTATTAAGCCCCCCAGCCATCTCATCAAAATCAATAACAGCTCTGACATTTTCACGTAACTTTTTTACTAGACGAATATTTACATCAGCTTCTAATAATGCAGCACATACTTCTTTCAGCATAGACGCCAAAACCTTATTGAAAAAAAAATAATAATAACATATTAAATTAAAGCATTTAGCTCTAAAAGTTGAATAGAAATAGAAATATTAAAGTATCATAATTTATTAAAGAATATTTACCTATTATTGAAATAACAGATAACACGAATCTGAGATATTGTTCTAAAATAAAATATTCAAGTTGATGACTTAAATATATATGTATCTTCCAATTTATGTGATATTATTTAACTATCAATTTTTTTTATGTTATTAACATCCCCTCTAACTTGCTTTTTATGGATTAATCTTTTTCTTTCAATTGCCACAAAATCCTAAGAAATCAAAATTCATATGTTCCAACCCCATACAATCAATAGAAATATATCTATCAATACCTGTAGGAGTTTTAAAATACTAGCACTATGTTTACAAAATTACAGCTATAATTAATGATATTGAATCAAAAATAGTTTAGTTTTATCATGATTTTATTTTCATTGGAAGAGAAATAGCAGATAGAAATAGTGTGATAGTTATTTCTACTACATTCAAGCACAGCACAGCTTGGTCGCAAGTTTAATGGGCGACCATTCAATAATAGATAGTATCCTAAGGTGGTTGAACACCGCTCCCCAGATGAGACTCATCAGCCAACAGAAAGAAACTTACTCCAGACATAGGGCTAATGATACTATACTGATAAATGATTCTGGATTTCAAGATTTCTACAGAAAAATTAAAGTGCACACTTTGTTTCCTAAATCTATGGCTGATTTACACAAAACCATACACAATTGTTAATTTGAAAAACAAATATAGACATTTAATTTGCTAACTTTTATCATTTTTATATCTAAAGCCATAACTATTAAATATCAAACTGAAAACCAGCAGATTGAAAATCAGTATAAATAACATGACAAGCATGAAGAGCACCCTAACTAAATAAATTTAAGTTCAGAGGATGACCAATTTAAGATATAAATTTAAACAGTTTAAAACTGTAATAAACATAGTTAAGAATGTAACAAAAAAATTAAATTAAAACTAACATCAAAACAAAGTTAATTTTATGAAAGAATTGGAATGTCATCGAAATTCATAAGGTTAGGTCATATCACTAACAAACCCATGAACAAAAAAATTGACAGAAAGAATTTATAATAATTTACTTTGATACATTGATTAATATTGTAATAATCACCTCTAAGTATACTTATAAATATAATAAAATATAGATTACAACATCTTGCAGAATTAACACTTACTTCTTCATTTATAATTGTAGCATTACTCAATGAACGCAACGCATCCGTAATTTTTCTTCCTAAATCTGCTAAAACCATTTTTGTATTATTTATAAAACGAACTTAATAAAATAAAGTCTGTTTCACTGAAACAAATCTTTGATGTGGAAGGTTAAAAACATTTAACAGCTGTTACAGAGCCAACATGGCAAAGCATGATGGCTACACTGGCTACTTTGTTTTATGATTCCTAGATGGCAGTGTGTACGAAAATTCCTGACGACAATTTTTATAAAATTTTTAACCTAAGTTGTTTAAAAATTGTTTCACAATATCTTTGTTATGTTATTAACTAAATTTCTGTCCCAATGTCTTATTTCATATTCCTTAAATTTAAAATATCAAGCATGCGCTTTTCCTGCAGCATGATCAATACCTTTACATTGTTGGATCAGCATCCACAGCATCCCCAACCAGAAATTTACTTAAAACAGGCTTTCCCTTCATTAGTTTTGTTAATATTAAATTTCAATAATTATCCAAAAAATACAATGAGGCGGGAATATCACCCTTATAGTGAAGTTAAAAATAATGAAGGTACAGCCATCCAACTGATGATTATTTTTTTTAAATATCTGTTAGATTTTAATTTAAAGTCTTAGTTTATTATTAATTACCCTTTCCAATCATACTGTCATATGGTAACTTTCCCAATATTATTTTTTAGAAAATTTTTCCCAAAATTTCATTCATCCTTTTAAATTATTAAATAATTTTGAATATTTATTATACCTGCTCAGTAGTTTTAATGTCCCATTTTATCTGAAATATCCTACTATAGCTTTAATACCTGCTTATTGTAATGATTCATTTTGCATATACATAACATCCATTATTTAAAGTAGTCTATGGAATGATAAATTTTATACTTAGTATTGTAATAAAGTATTATACAAAAAATACACTTCTTTTAATCCTGCTTATAAAACTAAGTTAACTAAGTTTTTTATTTAGCTTACTATTCCGTTATAATTAATTTTATTTAATATTCAAGTTAGTAATTCTGTATACAATTTTAAATATAAAATTTTACTTGATGGCCAAAGATACTTGGTTCTATTTGTTTATAAATCATTAGAAATTTGTATTTATATATTCACCTAAGTAACTTCTGAAAGACAAGGAAAGAGAATGAATTTAATCATAGTAGGTAATAATTCATAATGACTATGTGAAAATTTGAAAAAATTAAATAATAGTATTATTATAGAAATATACAAATATTTATGTATTTTTATAGGTATGGGAGAGAATTTAAATGAAACTGTCGAAGAATTAAAGGCAAAGTTGGATGCTATGAAAGATCTTCTTGCTGAGGAACAATTAAAACAAGCTTTACAAAACAAAAAACATTCTAATAATGTTCAATTTACTGCTCGGAGAGAGAGTATTATTGATGGAACTTTTTTAAGTGCTGTTTTTGCAGTTGTATTTATGCTTATAGTTGCAGTTAGTTTTTATGCTTTCCACAACTTATATGTGGCAGTTATAAAAAAATACTCAAGAGTACACGAGGAACTTTAGTTAATTGTATCTGTATTTCTTTTATTAACAAATCCAATAAGCAATCTATTTACTGGGGCCTTGTGAAGGATATTTGCTCAGGAACATGCCGAGTTATAGGCAGGTATTTTTAATATAACAAAACAAAGACCAGCTGTTAAAGTTATTACCAATATCTGTGTTTACTGCCTATACCTATGATAAAACTTCTGTTTTAATAAATCCTCCACTGCCCTACTCATTCTTAGCTGGCTAGTGAATGAAAGTAGTTATTTAATATAAATCAAATTTCAATCTTATATTTGACCATTATGATGTTATAACCATTTTATGTCTTTTATATCTTTCTCGTAGACACTTTATATAAATTTTATATACCTTTCATAATTTTGATAGATACTGTACAGATGTGTTCACATAAAATTTTAATAAAATAAAATATTTGACTTATGTTCATTGTTATCATATTCAATTCAACCTCTTAAAAATTGCTTTGCAACTTTGTTTTACAGTGATTTTAGTTTTAATCTTTTTCCAATCCATTATCATTTTAATGTAAAATTGACAAGGAATAATGGATCAGATATTTATATATAATATCATTAATTATTGCCACTACTTGTTATTGTTTTTCCTTTAAAAGTTTATTTTATTTACTTTCCTTCCCACTTACTACGAAATGTCTTTTATTTTTGTAATGTCTCTATTTAGCTTTAGTTTTTTTAAGCCACATTATTTATTCTGAAAACTAGACATAAACTAATTGTAATAATTTAAATGTATAGCAATAAAAAAAAAAAAAAAAAAAAAAAAAAATGTAGCGTCTGAGGTACTGAAAAGATAGAAATAATCCAATGTCTTGTTTAAGGTATCCCAAGGTCTTTTCAAAGGTCATACTGTCAAATTTTGTTGCAACCAAGAAAATTTTAATTCTTTCTTTGCTGCTTACATTACAACATGCACTTATAAATTAAAATAATTACTATTCATTTAGAAAAAAGTTTATTTATTTTAAAGGTTTACAATTTTTTATAGACAAATAAAACAAACTGATAGAAGATCAATAAAATGATGAACAATAGTAATCTTAAATATTTACTCATTCATGTTTAGTATTCTCTATTCAAATTTCATATTATGTCTTTATTTGATGCATTTATTTTAATAGAACCATTCTATATTTAAATCTGTTTAATTTTTTATAACATATGATTTCAAAGGTTTTGTCCTTAATTGAAATATGAAAATTCAATCTAAAAACGAAAGATTAGATGCGGCACATACACATGTTCATTTTTTAAATATTCATTAAAGTAAATACTAAAAAGTGATTTGGTCCATTACAGTAAAAATAGGGCAGGCCAACTAGTCAGAAATTTATTTAATCATGGCAAGCCCTTTATAATTTTTCTGCAAAATGTTAAAATTTGAAGGTTTCCCTATTTGTTGGTAGATATCTCAGTTGTTTACAAAGCTAATACCTAAATATGAAAAATTGTTTAGGTCTTATTTTTGTATAAAAATCAGAAATGACATCATATTTTTGTACTAAATTTAAAAATTGATTTATTTGATCTTTAAAAATAACATTTGCTTAAAAAAAGTTTAGTTTTTATTTATTTTGGTTTAAAAACAAAATATTTCATTGCTAGAGGTTCTAGTATTCAGCCCAGATAAACTGCCCTTCATTCCCCAATTAACAGAATAGCTTTTATTTTACTGTATAAATGTGAGAAACAATTTGATTTTTTTTTTTTCCATAATAGATATCTCATGATTCTGCTTTCTAGATCAATGATAAGAACATTTAAAGGTATCTATCTTACAGAAAATTTAACTGTTAAGATGGTAATTTTTTTTCTTTAAAGAAGTCATTTTCACCCACAATGCACCCTGACTGGACATTAACAAGAGAATCGGGTCATGACAAATACACCTTAATGTGTAACAGGGCATTGGCTAGTATCGGTGTTCATAATACCTCTCCATTCCGTACTGCAGGTTCTTTTGGAAAACATGTACATGAATAATCTTTGCTTATTGTTGCGGTGTTCTATGTTCTCATGTACTGTATCTTAAAAAGGAAGAAACATCAAAGATGATGGTGTTATACACAATTGTATGACTGAACAAATTGTATAAGTATTGCAGCAGTATAATAATAATTAATTTCTTTATAGAATTGAAATTTCAAGCAGTTTGAACTAGCTACAAGAGATAAGTTCTAGAACTTACCCCGTATAAAATTGGCGCTTTTATGTACATTATTTTTTTTAGATTAATTGACTTTGGTAACATAAATAAACACAAATTATTTTATTGACTCGTTTAAAGTTAACTTTCATAGACATTACGAAAAAAAATTTTTTTTTATAATTATAACTTTAATAGTATAATATTATATGTTTACATATTTTGATTTAAAAAGAAAAAATATTTCATCATATTAAGTGAAAGTTTGTGATGCCTGGACCGCATTAGATGTTGTTTCAGAACAGATTTATTTCGGAAATAATTATTTCATTTTTTTTTTAAATAATTTATTTATGAGATAAGTAAATCTAAAATAATAATTATGAAAAACTTAATTCGAAATAAATTACTTGATTTCATTGAATGTTAAAATATCGAAATAACTATTTCTGAAATAATTCATTCATGAAATAATCATATTTTGTATTTTAGAAATAAATTATTTCAAGGATGCCCAGATCTAGTGTATATATGTATGTCAACAGTCTAGCTCAAAAACGAAATTGTGTATTTAAGGTGTGTGTACATCACAGGCGGATCTACGGGGGGGGGGGCTTTCGGGCTGAAGCCCCCCCAAAATGGTAAAATATAACCATATTTTACAGAAAAAAATACTAAAAACTATCTCTTAAAGTATTCTTGTTCGTTTAATTACATTTAATAGGACTTCAAGAACCACTTAAACATCATTTCGTATAGGTAGTTAATTTCTTTCTTTTTTTTTTTAATTAATCATTTTTATACTTATATGAAAAAAAAATCTTTCGGGCTGAAGCCCCTCCCAAAATTAAATCCTGGATCCGCTAGTGGTGTACATGCCTGGGATATTATATCAACTTTTTCGTAAAAATCGGCCAAGTGGAAGTGCCACTTTATATAATCGATTTTACACATTTTCCTCAAAAACGGTTCTAAAGATTTTTATAAAATTCAATATATTTGTAAAAATTGAGCGTAATTTAATATGATGTAGTTCTTATTCTTATCGATGTTCTCTAGCGGTGTTTAAATGTCTTATCTTCAACATTTCTTCCTCTAAAGTACCTTTAATTTTTTTTATTTGAAATAATTAACCACTTCACAGTGGAAAATGTTATACCAAAAATATTTAAATATAGTGAATGAAGAAAATTTATTGGTAACTAAAGGAGAAATAAGGGAAGCTATATGGAAACAGTCCAGAGCGCCCGACCTTCGCCAACCAGACAGATACCCCTGTGTATAGGGTTTTCATATTGTTAGTTTTGACAAAATAGCATTTTAATTAAACTAAATAATTTATTAAACCTAATAATTTATAACATATACTAACGTTAAGTTATTTTTTCGACGAGTTTCGTGATAAATGTTTCCAAAGAAACACAGAATTTTCCCGAAAGACCCATTTTCCCCACCATCATAAGTATTGTTTAATGCACCGTCGTAAAAGGAAATGAAAAGCGATGCATACGTATAACTAACATATAACCATCCATTTTTTCCTATAACTTTTATTGTTGTTTTAAGTTTTGAAATTGGTATTCCTCATTCCTCCATGAAATGCCCTTTCGTTTGATACGTCATTCAACAAAATCTATATGCGTATTTAATGATAATTACTTTGTAAGAAGAAGAAAGAAACTAACTACCTACATGGAATAGTGTTTAAGTGGTTCTTGAAGTCCTTTTAAGTATAATTACACCAATAATAATACTTTTAGAGATAATTTCTTAATATTTTTTTCATAAGACATAGTTATATTTTACCATTTTGTGGGGAACTTCAGCCTGAAAGCTCCTCCCATAGATCCGCCTGTGGAGACCCCTGATATATATTACCGTATAATATATATTTAGGGGCCGAAAATTTTCTCCAAGACGTTGGCTTAATTGATTTATAAAAACATCTCCACCATTATAATTCAAGAAGGGTTTGGTACACTACTATGTAATGTAGTACTGTTTTATGGCCAACAATTATACAAGGAGGTCAACCGTCAGTTTTTTGCCCACAATTAATTAATAGTACCCACTTTATAGAGGTTAGGTGTGCTCCAGGAGGGTCTCTCGAGCCCAGGATCGATTCACGGCCGATGCAAATGATTTATGATGTTGGTTTATTCGATTAATATATGCCGTTGAAATTGATTTATTAACTGAACTTAAATTAATAACTGAAGATAAATTAATAAAATAAAACTAATTTGCCCTTTATAGCATAATTGTTCTTGTAATAACTTTTTTTTTAGCAGGCCTTTAAATACCATTTAAATGCCACTTCATATAATTTCTTTATTTTTATTCCACAGTAATCACCATTATTCAATAAAAAAAAAGTTAGTCCTTCAAAATTAAATTCGAATCCCCTACAAGTTAACATCTCTTTCATCTTGCTACAATAGATTTGTTTCAACAGGAGTTTTGACTATCAACTAGGCTAAAACTGTTAGCCACGTTTTATTGATTTCAAGTTCCATAACAAAAATAAATAAAGAAATAAAAATTATACAAAATATTTAGGGAACGTTTTAACGAATTTAAAAGTTTTAAAACGATGTTTGTTGAATTAAAAAATATATACCAAATCTTGCAATTTAAAGCAAAGTCGATAAATGAACCATGATATATCAAACTAAAACAACAATATATTAAATAAGAATGTCTTTAAATGTTGTTAAATACTGTTGGAGAACTGAAAAAAGAGGAAGGGATGCGCCAGATACTATAAATCAGCACCTGTCAAATTGAGTTATATTTTCTAATGCACATTTATTATAATTTATATTATATATTATACATGAACATTGAAATAATATTTAAATAAGAATCTTAAAATTTATCGATTTAAAATAACTGAAACAGTTACAGTTCTTAAGATAAATCGATGATATTGTGGCGGGAAGTTGATACGTCATCGTATTCAGCAGTACCTTCATCTTCTGCATTTTAAGACGGTTTCAGAGGAAACAGTGTTTGCCAAATTGATGTTTTTTTTTTTTAATTTTGTCTAAGTTTTTTATCTATCCAGGAACTATTGTTTACTAGTTTACTTCCAAACTTCCTGCTTTTCAGTGAGACCAATACTTCAAATAACTTGAAGGTATGTAATAAATTTTACCCTTGGCAAAACTGTTAAAAACTCATCTAACTCATATAAGATTTGCACTTAAAAGTTTTCGAAAGTACTATTTTTAATATGTTAATGAAATCAATTTATTGGGAAAGAGTACCGTAGGTTTACTCTTAAAATTTTACAACATTAATCTAAACTTCGTTAAATATAGTATTCTTATGAAATTAAAACAATGAATAATTGGTATATAGGCTAATATACCCATGCATAAAGCCACAAAAACAAACAAAAAATAAAACAAAAAACAATGAATAAAAATTTATTCAACTGATTTAGGGCAAATGTTCATCGACCATCATGGACAAGTTTATTCGATTCTCTACATGCTGTCTGGAATCTTTTCTTTCCTATAATTGCTATAGACATCAACACAACAACCTGGGACAGACGGACAATTCTGATATTCTTTACTGAAACAAATTGCTAGATTAATCATTACTAATTTGTAATCAATTACTTAAGGAATTTACTTAATAAAAAATTTAAAAAAGAAAGGTGTACTACTTCATAGGTGTACTACTATGATGAATGGGTAAAAAATCAACAAGAGATTAAATTTTGTATATAACTGAATGTGTCTAGAAGTTGCTAGAGATGCCTGAATCTTTTGTAAGGCCCTACACTGTACTGAAAAGGACCCATGGAGGTTTGTTTATCACTTTCGAATGATTTGAAGTTGAAAGCAGCGATGTAATCGAAGCAGGGGTGCCCATCTTCCACAAGGTCCATGGCACAAGAACCTACCCTCCCCCTTCTCCCAAGACATTGTATTGCTCACATTTTGTTAAAAACAAAGCAAGCTAAGATAGAATTAGAAATATTGTGGATCATATACAATTACATTTGCTGCGACCTGTTCCATGTTTTCCCTTCGTCTGTTAGTCCGAAAATATATAACCCCCTCAGAAATCCAAAAACTCATCAAAACAGGCTCCCCTCAGAAAATTTGATGGCGCAACTTACGCCGTGAAACTCCTGGGCACCCCCGGATCGAAGCCAATGAAAGCCCCATTTAACTGCAAAGATAGATCATGACAGGTAGAAATATATATTGTTGCAAGAGGCTTTAAGACTATTACCTCTATGTGCTATTATACATTACTACCATTAATATTAATACCTTCCAAGGTAAGAAATTATCATTAAACTATATATTTGGTATAATTACTCTAAAGTAACCATCCTAATAGGTGTAAATTCTCTATACAGTTTCAGCTAAAAATTAATCAAAGCTACCATCAACAGAAAGAATATAAGTCATAATTTATTATTTGAAATACACTCATAAATAAAATAGAAACCAAAATACCCCAACGGACCAAAGTCCAACTATAACTTCAGTTTGCAAACATTCGTATAAAAAATTTAAAAGGAAATTTTTGAAAGGATACTTCAAGAATATTTATGCCTTTCCAGATTATTAATTATTTTTTTACAGATGTTGAGTTTCAAACTGAGTTGTTCACTGGTTCAGCATTTATTTCTTCCAATGTCACCCATATTTTGAAACTATCAGTTTTGTACTGTGGTGGCTTTCATTTTTCTAGAACACTGCCCATAAAGAACATAATTTTATTCTTGGATTTATTGTGAGCCCTAAAAGAACTTGACAACTTGTATTCTAGACATTTTGAATTTTGAAGAATTTTATAAATAACTAAAATGACAAGTGAAGATGGAAAATCAGTACACTTTGAGCGAGTGCTTGGACACAGAATAAGAAGTGACAAATTTTTTGGCGGATAATGCTGCCAAAGAGCTCCTTACTCTTTTTGATCCTGATGAAATTTTCCTTTACCACATCAGCTTGCATATCATATTGAACGTGATAACCAAGGTTTCTGTTTAATAGCATAAAGAGAAAAGTAAAACCTTGGCAACCTCAAATTCTAAAGCCACTCTCAATCAACTTTCACGTGATCTCACATTTTCCTTTTTCAGTAAACTCAATCTAAGAATTAAATTAACTCAGAAATAAAAAAATAAAAAATAAAAAAATAAAAGAAAATACCAAGTTACAAGAAGGCACACTTAACAATCTAACAGATACAAGAGATAACAAATAATACATAGGGAGTAAAGAATAATGTTCTTGATGAATATTGCATTCTATCCAATATCAATACCTATGTTTTTTACTAATTATAGACCTATTGTTTTTTAATGGAAGCAAGAAGAGATTTGGGTAACTATATTTCATTAGGAAATTCTTTTAAAAATTTAGTGTAGGTAGTTCAAAGTTTAGTTTTTCCTAAGAGAAAGACCATTCTCAGTCGATCTTTACTTACTGCATATGGACAAATGATCCAGGTTCTCCTTGGGAGCTGTTTTTGGACTTCAGTTCTTCTGGACCCATCTGGATTTTCCTATTAGTATTACAGCTTGCATCTTGTGTTTTGCTCCTATAATTATTACACTATTATTATTAAATTAAATCCTCTATACGTGAAAAATACTTCAAAATTCATAAATTGATTAATTAAATTTTAGTATTTTAAGGTAAAGTAATCTGTTTATTTTTATTTATTTATTTTATTTATAAAAAGTTTATTTTTCTTAGTTATATAATATCTGGTGGTTGAGAGAGTCAAGGCGCCTGCAAAAATACACTTAATGTGTGAAGGCTTTTTGTTTCGATTTTAATCGAAACTGAAAAGTCATAAGTTCAAATCCCGTTCGCAGAAACAAACAAAAAAGATAATAAATATAAAAAATAAAAATTGCTAGCGCTACCTGATTATTTCGATCACTGCGGTGCGGATTCGACTCCCCCATGGGGACGGTAACGTTCCCACCCAGAGATTCATCAGAGAGGTGAGCAACCTCCATGTCTTATACCATAGCTCCCGGTTCTCCAGGTTGGGGGTTGGGCATAGGGCTAATAACTCTATCCCGGATTGCATGCAGAGATGCATTTGACCATAAAAGCAATATTCCTGAAACCCAACCTTCTTAAAATCATCAGAATGGTTTTCTTGTGAATCAAAATAAAATATTTTAGTCATTGTATCTTACAAAACTCCGTCATTGCAACAGCATTTTCATCTCTTGGAACTTAGCGAACAACAAATGTTTGAAATAGGTACATCTACCATCCTTTTAAAATTTGTATCAAAACCGTAGAAAAAAAAAGTAATTAGAATATCTCAGTTCCAAGTGGTTCGGGACTATTGCTTTAATGGCCAAATGCATTTCTTATTTAGATGTAGAACTTGCAGCTATTTCAATTTATAGAGTGTAACTTAAATGACTTCCACAACTTAATGGAATGATATTAGACCTCAAATGAAATATTTAAGTCCATTGGGCTATAATCCAACACCAATAAGGAAAGGAGTAAATTTAAATGTGTTCTTAAGATTGTCATGTTTTTTATTGAAGAGAAGAAATTAAATGTTTATTAAGCAATTCTGAACTGCAGTAATGTAAATTGATAACATTTTCTTTAAAAACAAATGGAATTTCTTGTTGTCTAAACAATTTAAAATGCGCTTTCAAGATGCTGAAAAATGCTAGATTCATTTTTTGTTAAGTCATGAATTGTTCACGATTTTCCCTTCTCTCTGGCAAGTTATGAATTCTATTGTTGATCTTTTATGATAAACAAGTCATCAAGCCATTTTCATAAAAACTAAAATACTGCTAAGCAAGTATCTTATCGATTCAAATAAATAGTATTCGGATAGAGCCAAGACTTATATTTTCCAACTGAACGTTGCAATCGTTTCCTTCACTAGATTGCTGTGTGTGGTGGTGCATTATCATGAAGCAAAATCACTTGGTGCTGTCTCTTTTGATGTTCTGGTTATTTTCCAGTCAATACTCAATTAAAACAACAAACAAAAAATCAATCAATTGTTGTCCATAGCATTCAGTATTAATGGTTTTGTCAGGTTTTAGTAGCTCATAATAGATCATCATATCTCTCTCTCATTACATTGCATCTTTTAATTATTCATGGAATTGAATAATGCAAACATAAAATATACTAATATCATCGCCTAAAGTGATATTGAGCACCAATGCTTTTTAATCAAAATTCAATTTTGGTAATAGATCCTAATTGTATCAGTTAAACAACAATGAATGTTTTTGTCTTTTTATTCTCGAGAGAAATTAGAGATTTTCTGTCCAGATTAAGCCTGAAGAATCTGTTTTTTATTTAAAGATTAAAGAGGCTGGGTCCCAGCAGCACCAGAATGAAAATAAATAAAACCTTTATATTAATTTATTGTAATTATTTTTGCTGAAAATGAAAATAGAATTTCGCTTGAGAAAAGTACAATTATACCTCACATATTATTTTTTTGATGTTATTGTATTTTTTTTTTAGCTACCATATAGATCTACTTCTCACCTTACCAAGACATATTTCTGTCTGAAGAGTTTGGGATGCAATGTTTGGGTCATTATTAACGGATAAGACACATGTATCATCGGCATACATGGTAAATAACAGTTAGGATGTGTTGGGATGTCAGCTGTATAAACTGTGTAAAGGTTAGGACCTAGGATACTACTTTGAGGAACACCAGCGGATGGGATAAATTAAAGTAGTTAAAGAGGAAAAGGCAAACCTAAGGTATGGTGTCCTTACTGATAGATAATGGTTCCTGGGACACTAAATTGACCATGAGAGATCTTCCTACTTTGTCACTCATTATTTTTGTTATGGTTTCCGGCAAGACTAAAGCAATGCAAGCAAATACACAAGAAAAAAATATAGAAACAAAAAATATATGAAATAGAAGTATAGGAATTTATTCTGAAATTGTATTATTCCCATTTTAAGAGGACGATGTCAGGTATTGGTACACTGTCAGCTACTGGTGTTTTTATCCTACTATTTGGAAAAGTGGATCTAACATCAGGAATGTGGCGAAATAACTAGGAGAAACACAGAAAATTTTCCTATTTCTTAGGTATGAAGAATCCTGACACATCCTTAAAATTTTGATTTATGTTAATCACCATTACCAGTTTTTTGTTTTTCATTAAAAAAGATATATCACGTTCTCTTATCCTCTTGAGTTGCCAATGTTTCTTCCACTAAATATTATTTATTTTCATTGACTTTCTGTTATTTGTCTATATTTTCCCTATTTGCCCTTTTCTATCCTAGTTCAACTTACAATACTATAAATGAAATTTTACTTTTGGAAAACGTCTTTATTAGAGTATACCATTCCAATCTGCATGGTTTACATTGTAAGAAAAGTGATATGGGTGCTGCAAAAATTTTTTCAAATCTTGATATTTTCTAAAGCATGCGAAGGAAGGATAATTCTATATTTGATCAGAGAGCAGAGGATGAGACATTTTCTATTTAATCAATGTTATTCTGTCTGTAATTTTTTGGACTGCATAGGACAAAAAACTTAAAATTAACTATTAGATAAATATAAAATATAAATATGATGCATCTAAGTTAACCTACATAGGATAATACAATATCCAACAATACAATACATACAAAATAATACAATACAATTAACTTACAAAGGATAATACAATCTCCTATTAATCTGTTCATTATCATTACTAGTTTTGTATTTATTCAAATGAGACATCATTGCTGATCTTTTAGTGTTCTCATTTATCAAGTCTTGATATTTATACCTAGAAGAAGAAGTTGATTTTTAAAAAAGTTTGAACAAAAAATCATCTAACTGTAAACAATCCTCAAGTTGTTGATTCTATATAAAATTTATAGGTATAAAATATTAACAGTGATTTTATTAATATGCTCTACAGTCCTTAACGGACCTGGATCTTAGAAACAAGCTTCTGCCAGACTCCTTCAAACAAGCTTCAGGCCTATTGGCAGCTATTATTCTCCATCTTCTTATGCCATTACGGCTGAGGTCTTCTTCTACGTCATCGATCCACCACAGGTGGGGTCTTCCCCCCGCCTCTCCTGGGCAGTTATAGAGAAGTTTTCTTGGTATCCTCCTCCATCCTCAGTACATGGCCAAGCCATCTGAGGTGGTTCCTTTTGACCGTGGCAACAATATTGTCATTCTTATAAAGCTCATGTAGCTCTTCATTTTTTCTTGTTCACCACTGTTCATTAATTCTTTTGAGGCCATATATTTTCCTTTCCCAAACATTCAGCAACCTCTCACTTTTCTGGGTCAACACCGACATTTCACATCTATAGGTAATGACTGGCTTAATGATGGTTTTATAAACTGTTATTTTGGCATTCCATGTCAGTCCTTTGATTTAAGTAATTTTTCCAGAGAATAAAAAAAAATTATTACCTGCTGTAATTCTGGCTTTTATTTCATTCTGTATTTTTTTTTTATCAGTCACTACCACTCCCAGGTATTTAAATTCTTTCCCCATTAGAAAACGATGCTGATTAATTTGAATATATTCATTACTTGCTACATTATTCCTTGTGTACTTCATATAAAGGCTTTTATCTTCATTTATGATTGGAAGGCTCTTATAAGCAATTATACATTGTTGGCCCTGGCGTGATCGATTGAGGAATTCGGAAGGACAGCCAAGTAACTTGGCTTGAGCATAAGTAAGATAAAAACAGTGGTTTTAATCAGGATTATTCTTAACACGTTCGGGATGAGCTTCATTTTATGAAAATACTTGGTGTAGAGGTGCATATTTAAAAACAAAATATGTATGAAAATGTCTATCTCCACCACCTATGAGCATTTAAAATAGGAAGAGATAGGGAAAACAAAGAATCCTTTCCAAATGATCACCCGTCTGTGTGGATAGAAAACATCTTCCTTCCATAAGGGCCATCCGCACTGAGAGTGTTAAAATCTTTTTCTTTTTTTTTCCACACCATCGCTTTGAATAAGTATCAATATATTTCATTATTTCAATATTTTAGTATTATCAGTATATAATTATCAACAGATACGTTTTTTGTGTCCACCCCTTCCTTGCCTTTTAGGCTATACAAGAATTTTCCAGGGCCAAGGTAGAGGGTGGGGGATTAATGCCAGAGTTTAAAAGTCCTCCCCGGAATGAGAACACGTCATTATTTTATATCTCATAACTTCGGGTTATTATGTGGTTGGTTGCCGGGCAACACACATTTTGTACATGCGTTAGTCCACTTGACCACCCTGCCCCCACATAAACTGATACAATATCTGATGCTTAAAAAGTGAATTCATTTGAATTTTCTAGATATTTTTTTATCCTAAATATTGTATTTGCTTGGCTCCCTCTCACTCACTGTCTCTCTCTCTCTCTCTCTCTCTCTCTCTCTCTCTCTCTCTCTCTCTCTATATATATATATATATATATATATATATATATATATATATATATATATATTTCAGTTGGCTCTGCAGACTTTGTAGATCTTTGGCTGCCTGAACCAGCCTTCTCCACCCCTGCCTATCTTGAGCTACTGCTTTCCAGTTTGCGGCATGAAGCTCAACCGTATTTTTTCTGGGCTCCCATGCGGTCTCTTGCCTACTACTCTGGCATTCAATGTTGTGTAAAGGTGTAGATGGATTGCTACAAGCTAAAAGCCCCACCCATCTTAGCCTCCTTGCCTTCATGCCATGAGATATTGACTGACCCGTTACTTTCAGCAGTTCTTTATTGTTCCTTCTCCTCCCACATAGTCCCATATAGGTCCTGTTATCTTACAGAGAACTTTTCTTTCAGATTTCTCAATTCTGGCTTCTAGTGTGCCTTTTAGAGCCCAAGTTTCACAACCGTACAGCAGAACTGGCTTAATCATGGCGTTATACACCCTTATTTTTAGATTTCTGGAGATTTTTCTGGATTTCAGTACCTTGAAAGAGAGAAGAAAGATCTGTTCGCAGTTTTTATTTGCTGCTCTATCTCTGTTAGTTGATCATTTATTGAGGACAGCTATATCATCCACATATGCTAGGATTTTGTGTTTCATTCCAACGTCCACCCCTCCATCTTCGCGTGATGTTGTTCTTATTACTTTCTCTAGGACTAAGTTGAACAGCTTCGGCGAGAGTCCATCTCCCTGCCTCAAACCTGTTCGAATTTCAAAGGCTTCAGATACTTCTCCTTGTATTAGTACCCTGCATTTAGGATCATTTGTACACGCCTTCGTGAACCTTACTAACTTCCCAGGAACATCCAGCTCAGTCATGATCTTCCAGAGACAGTTTCTGTCCATTGAGTCATAGGCTGCTTTGAAGTCGACAAATAAGGCGAGCACATCCTGATCTACTTTCCATAATTTTTTAAGTGTTCGTTTCAGGATGAATATCTGATCTAGCGTATTCCTCCCTCTCCTGAATCCTATTTGATGGTCGCCGATTATGTTTTCATAATACGGATATGTCTGATTTAGCAGAACATTAGTAATTATTTTATAGGAAACCGGAAGAAGTGTTAGGCCTCTGTAATTGCCACATTCGTACATGGAGCCCTTCTTAAGGATAGAACAGATCAGACCTGTGTTCCAGGCTTCTGGTATCCGTAGGCTTTAAATTGCTCAGCCCAGCCATAATCTGTAAATCTAGACAGATTACTATGCTTGAATTGCTGAGACAATCAATGGTATTCTTGATGTTTTATTTCAACTAAATATAAAAATAAAACCAATATATCTCTCATAAATTTTAAATAGTTTAAAAGGAAATGAAAAGCTTGATCTATTAAAACATCGCATGTATCTTTTTAATTTTTTTTTAACTTGTAAATAATAATTTATTTAATAATGTTCACTTTGGAATTTATTATATAATTATTATTGGATTAAAATACCTATCCATTCCAGCAAAACTATCTTGTCTTTGAGGTTTATATTCTTCATTTTTCTCATTCAAACCTGCATTTTTTAATTCATTAAATGTTTCATTTAATTTTTCAGTAGCTAATTGCCTACAAAAGCATAAATATGTATTTGTTTCATAGTTATAATATTAATTCAGATTATCTATAACAGTGCATAATCTATTAGAAAATTCTTATGACATCAAATAGGTTCAAACTATAAATAAATAACTTCTAGATTTAATTCAGTACTGAAGCGTAATGAAATTCAAGCTGAATTGTATAAATGTTCACGTATATGGGAGAAAATCAGGAAAGATTGGCCATAAGGCTATCACATCTTCCACCAGCTGGCTAATATAAACAAATTTATCCTGATATGAATATCTCAATTCAAACAGCAATGAGATAGAAGATACCCTGCTGAGAAAGGATAGACAGTTATTTGTCTTAGACCTTTTATTATTTTTATCATCAAATTTCTATGAAAACTCGGATGACAATCAAATTTAAAACTCTACATGATGATCAGTTATAAATCTGTCGATGATGATCAGTTATGAAACTCTAAATAATTATTAGATTTGGAACTTTTGATGGTGAGTTATGGAACTCTAAATAATAATTAGAATTCGAACTCTTGATTATCAGTTTTAAAACTCTAGATGATGATCAGTCATGAAACTATCGATGATGATCAGTTATGAAACTATAGATGATGATCGGTTATGGACCTGTAAATAATGATTAGATTTGAAATTTTGTTGATCACTTATAGAACTCTAGATGATGATCACTTATGGAACTATCAATGATGATCAGTTACGGAACTATAGATGATGATCGGTTATGGAACTGTAAATAATGATTAGATTTGAAATTTTGTTGATCACTTATAGAACTCTAGATGATGATCACTTATGGAACTATCAATGATGATCAGTTACGGAACACTAAACAATGATCTACTATAGGAACTCTAGATGATTAGAACAGCATCCCCAAAAGATCCAAATGGGTCGAGGTAATGAAGGGTTTTCCATTCTTCAACATTGCAAAATACAAAGAAAGTGGTAATATCTGGCATTGAAAGATTATCATCATTTAGATCTATTGATCTATTGATTAATGCATTTTTTAATTGCAAATTTAAGATAATTTGCCTTGTTTTATCAAATAATCAAAGCTCTTTTAACTAATTTATTTTCTAAAGTTTCCCAGGAACTCTTAATTTCCCTATACTATTAAGGTAAAAACAGTTCTGTGATTTTAAATAATTAGTTAGATATTAACTTGATAAATTATCTCAATATCTTCATTACTTACTTATACATCTCTTGTCTATTAGATGGAGAGTGCATTAAAGTTCTATTCCTATTCAAATTTTGTAGTCTACTTTGATTATATCCTTGTGATGAACTTGGAGTATTCCGTTGTTGAACCATATAATAATCATCATTATTGCTATACGGTGAACTCTCAGGTTTTTCACAGTGGCTATTACCATGCATTGGTTTTGGGAATTGTTTATTTGCTCTCTCTCTGGGATCAAACATAGCCATATCACGTATGGAGGACTCATACGCATTATCAGTAGCATTATAATCATACACATTTCCTTCTTTATACGATATTTCATCATCTGTCTGCTCATTATAATCATCATAAAAATTTTTGTCATTGTCTGGTCCTAGTTTTCTGTCATTTATTAAGTAATATTGACTATCATCCATATCTATCACTGGTTCACTAAAATGAAATATAATATTTTAAAATAAACAACATATAGCAAAAATAATTTGTTTAAAAAGTAAATAACTATTAGTTTAAGCCTATACTGCTTATCAATTATGTTGTATACAGATATGTTGAATGCAGGAAAAACATCCCATCTACGTCTAAAGGCAACTGATAAAAGTTTTATATGAAAGGTTAAATGAATCATTCATACTTTTATTTTATTTGTAGATATACAAATTAATCAACAAATAAATTGATGTTTTACAATCCAACAAACATGAAAAAATTAATTTTAATTTAAGGGACATTTATTTATATTTCTTACGATAATCCATTCACTAAAAATAGCATGTTAAATATTTAATAATTATTTTATAGGGAAATGATATTTAAAAATTATACTATGACATGATGATCAAAAATAACTAAAAAGTGTGTTGAAAATATCTTAAAAACTAAGAAATAGTTATGTATCTTGAAATTAAAATAAACCATCCATTGTCAGTTTCTACTCTTGCCTTACAATATATTACAACATTTTCGAACAAACTTATGTATTTTCTAGGATTTCAAGACCAATGATTTCTAAAATTGTATAATTAAGACCTTTCTGACTCAACTTCTGAGAAAGCTTTTAAATATTTTTGAAGATTTAAGGATTTAAATAAATAGTTTATAATATATGTATTATCAATACAATGAAGTTGAAAATGAAGAATTGATACAAGAAAATGTACAAAAAGATAAGTTTTCTTTAGGAGTAGAAATAAAATGTTTGCCATTTTTAGTGTTTTCTACTTCCATATCAGATAGAATTTTTAATATTTTTATGAAGCTAAAAAATTTTCATTGATTGATTTTCAAAAATTTGTTATCAAAGTTTCCCTTTGTTCAATTTGTTATCAACGCACCCTCCACATAATGTTGCCATCAGATTTTCATTGTCCCTGTAAGGAGGTAATCTGTAATTTGATTGTGGAGTTTTAACTCTTCGTTGATTCGTTTCTTTTCTTTCTTGTGTCATTCCTTGCTCTGAAATATTATTTCTGTGCATTCTGAAAAATTTAAAAAAAAAAAAAAACTTAAAAATTATAATTTTTTTCTTCATTTAGTTGCTTTAAGCTTGTATCCTTTGTATTATATTAGCTATAGATTATTATATTTGATATAAACGATTCAGTAGTTATTACCCTTCCAAATTATTTCCATTGTGTCCACCTACTAAAATTCCTTTAATAGGCAAGTCACGTGTTTGTGGCAAGTTATTCCGCAGCTGTGAATCTGCTACAGAATGGCTCAAGTTTTTCTTATGTGATGATGGAAACATTGAATAAGAAGGGTTTGGTACCCTTGAAATAAAAAAATAAATAAATAAAAAAATTGAACATATAAACTAAAATGCATTTGTATGTTTTGTGAGCTGAATTTAATTGACAATAGATTGTAGGTTTATATTTAATCTTACCTTCTTGTTTGCGTATTCCATGATTGATCTTCAGAATAACTATCCTGAAAGTTTTCTTGACCTCTATAATAAGATTTGTTTCCATCCGATGCTTTTAGAACAGTTTCCTTAGGCAGTAAATTTTCATTCCTTGATGATGATGGTTGTCTATTGATAAGAAAGGAAAAAAAGAAATGATGAATTCAACATACTAAGCTATTATTACAAAGTATACGTACACATTACAAACTATATACATACATATATCCATAGGGTGTCCTAGAAGGAAATATCTGTAATTAAGGGAGACATAGTCTCTGAAATGGATTTCAGTGCTACGAAACACTTCGATCAGTTGGCTGTTGAGAGATTGTTGGTTCCCCTGTTGCAATCAAACTTTCTCGAATGCCACTAATCATTTATTAACTTTAGTCACCATTTTCATAATCTACATTAAATTTCTTATAAGACGACAATTACTTTGTGGGAAAATATCTCTTTGTCAGGCTATCAAAGCAGCCAAAGCAAAGAAAAGAAGTGAAAATGAATTATTTTCTGAACGACTCAGTTGAATATTACATAATCAATTGTTGAGATAAAACCATAGGAATTTCATAAAAGTTCCTTCATATTATTTGCTTTCCTTAAGTATAACCAACTTTGTGAATAATCTGATTTTGATATTGAGGTTGGGATGTCATAAAACATTAGAAAACAATTACCTACAGGATGAGTACCGCCTACCTAGTATTTTTTTATTCTGGATTTGCTATCTTGTACATTAGGGATATGGATGAGTTACCACTGCGAACATTTGGAATGTCTTTTATAGTTTTTCCAACAGTAATACATTACTTTTGCATGATAAACAAAGTGTGTATTAACAAAATCATACATAATTTAAGTTTCTTATAAAAGTGGAAGGGATATCTGATTCAAAAAGTAATTTAAAATACAATGCTAAAAATAAAATAAAAAAATTGTATTATTTTTTGTAGAAATTGGAGCTACTAAGTATTTTTTTAAAGGTTTAGGTAAATGACAAAAACAATGAATGCATTATGGACAGTATGCGACAGAGAGAATGGAATATTATAAATTTATAATAAGAAAAATATAACTAACTAAAAAGAAAAATCACCCTATAGATGGATTAAGGACCCAAAAATACAAGTAATAAATAATTAATTTTGAAAAAAAAAAATAGAAAATAAAGAAGACCCACAAATAAGAACTTCTGGAATTTTAGACTTTTAAAAAGAATCCTTCTAATGTTAATGTTTTAAAATTCTCTGAAAACCTTTTGATGTTTTGTCATAACATTTAACTTCAATTTAGTTCAACAGTTTGAACTGTTCACATCTTAAATGTCATGAAAACAATAGCATAATGTTTCATTTCTAGAAAATATTGTAATCATAGATTGTGCATATGATAAATGTGAAATGATAAAAAAAATCGTTTAGAATATGGAATAGCCGAATAACCTATCCGATATACCCTAAAAAGTAGAAAAGACATTGTTGAATCTCTTTCTTTGGCAGAATCAATTCCTTCTTGTTTTTCCTGTAAAACATTGAAAACTTTAAGATTGGTCGACCTCGATAAAACAATTTACCAATGGTTCGAACTAAACTGGACAGAAAGTTTCCTATTTCTGGATCCCTAGTAACTGAAATTAAGATTCATTCTTATCAACCGTTAGTAATTACGTAAAATAAATTAATTATCCATGGTTTTGTCTATCTCTGCACCTTCTTCCCCCTTTATAAACCCCAATGGTTGAGGGAAAATTTGCAGATTTTCTCCAAAATAAAAAATATTTTGAAATGCAGTCTATAACCATATTTATAATGTTAAGCGATTTCTTATTTACCAAGAAATTTAAAAAAGATAAAAATTTTGACTCTACGGTTAAAGGTGATGAGTTTTCTCCATGTTTGCTAGTTACTGTCCCCGTATCTCCCTAGCAAGTTTTTTTTTCTTTGTCACTGTTCTTTTTTTTAATATTTAATATTCTAAACATCTCAGTAATTTAACCATTGAAATGTTGAAGGGTCTTAGTGCCTTCAGCAAAATTAAAATTGAATTATTTTTTTTGCATATTTCAAGTCTATGTGCTAATATTTACTTATGCTATAATAGATGATACAAGAAATCTTTTTAGTTAAATCATATTTTTTTAATATTATTTTATTTCGAAACTTGAATTATGGAAGAAAAATTCATTGATAAAGTACCAGTACTATTGGGTTGGAAAATAAGTCCTTTCGGTTTTTCTATTAATTTTTATGTCACTATGATACATTTCTTATCTAATGAATTTATCCCTAAGGTGGATTGTTTATCCTTTTTATAATATGTCATCAACTTTATCTGTTAACTTTTGTTGAAACTAGCTTGGTGTTTTATTTATTATGCCATTCCCTTCCACGGCTGTCAGGGATATTAACATAATTCTGCTTTTGTAGCTGGTACATTTATTTTTCTGTTTTGGACTGTATATAAGGCATTTGATTAATATATAATTAAACTATTGGGTGGACAGATTGCTATATTTGTTACTATATTTATATTATAATTTGATTTATTAAAGCTGGATCTATTACAAAGAATGGTTAGTGGGTTAATGAATTTAGTATGACTAATACAACTATTTTAACTGTGGATTAGGTAGGTGGTGGCTGTAAATGAAATAATGTGCTTCCTGCATTCTTCTCTCCTTTTCCTCTCATCTTCCTCTCCTCTCCTTGCTAAGCCTGTTGAGCTTCTACTCCAAATCTTCTACGAAGGCTGTAAGATGTAATTTTCTTGCTGGCCAGCTGTGCTCCAGTCTTAAGTGGACATGAATCTAGCAGGTCCTTTGCATGTCTGTTCAGTCTATGTTGCTTCTAAAGCCTCCACTAGATTCAAATTTAATTAAGTGGGAACATGGCTGTGTTCTCTTAACACTTGGTTTTGTGTTTGCTATTGCACTGTGGATTATTGAAGAAAATATCATTCATTATTGGCATATTTTTTTACATAATTTAAAAAAAGTTAAGCGTGCTGCAGAAGCTCATATAAAAATTTTCAGTGTTTATGGGGATGATGCCTTAACCGAATGCACTGGTCAAAATTGGTTTGCCAAATTTCATTCAGGTAATTTTGATATCAATGATGCTCAACGGTCTGGTCGCCCAATTGAAACGAGCAATCTTAAGGCCATTGTTGATCAAAATCCCACCTAATCAGTGTGAAAGATTGCTATGGACCTAAATTTGTCGCACACAAGTGTAGGAAACCATTTGCACAACCTCCGCTGTTTCCAGGCTTATTGTTTGGGTCCCTCACTCTCTAACCGAGTCAACTTGGCAACAAACAATTCTATTTGTGATTCACTATAGAAATGGCAACAAATTGATCCATTTTTATAAAGGTTGGTAACAGGAGATGAAAAATGAATATTTTATGATAATTTAGTCCGTAGAAAATCTTGGGGACCTAGTAGTGAGGTTCCTAGAAAAATTTCAGAACCTAGATTGCATCCAAAGAAAAAACTGCTTTCCATACAGTTGGATTTCAAGGGTGTTATTTTCTATGAGCAATTTCCATCAGGACAAACAATTGATTCAACTGTATACTGCCCACAATTAACAAAATTAGATCAGTCAATTAAAAATAAACACCCTGAACTGGCAAATCGGAAGAGTGTTGTGTTCCATCAAGACAATGCTAGGCTCCTCACCTCATTGGTCACTCGCAATAAATTATTGATCCTTGGGTGAGACCTTTTGTCCCATCCTCCCTATTCACCAGACCTATCCCTAAGTGACTACCACTTATTCTGGTCTCTGCAGAACTCCATGAATGGAAATAAATTCCAAAAGGAGGATATCAAAAACCACTTGGATCAGTTTTTTAACAATCAACTCTAGACATTCTATGACCATGGCATTATGCAGTTAGTGAAAAGATGTGACGGACAAAGCATATTGACTGAACGACCCCGCTCCCTGTAATTTTTTAAAAGTTAAAATATTTCTATTAAAATAAAAATCCTTTATTTTACTAAACTTAAAGATGATAAGAAATTTAATGTATTTATTTGACACAAACAGAGGACAGTAGATTGTTTTTATTTGATTTTTGGATCCAACTTATCTTAAAATGTAAAACTCAATTTTTTATTTGTTTTTTTCTCAGTTTGAGATAGAAAATATAACAAAAATTTTTTGACAGAAAAAACTGCCTGCACTTGGTGGGTTTATCTATTCTATTCATCTTGAAATGTGATATCTCAGATTTGGGGAGGGGTTAAACATTTTTCTTCTTGGCCAATTCCCAATGTTCATTACCCACATACGTGCCCTTTGACTATTCTAAAATGTCATTCTAATTATAATTCTGTCTGTTCCTTTCTTGTGGCCAGGTTAATTGAGAATGTGGTTGTCAAAAGATTTTTTGCCAAGATAAGACACCTTCTGCACGACTATAGGTAAAATATGTTCTGTAGAAACAGCACATATGATTTACTTTTGTTCTTTCTGCTCTGAACAAAATGTTATGAATTGATTTTTTCAATGAATGGGAATGGAGTGATTGTTTCTTTTGCAATGAAAGAGGAATATGAACAATAAATCAGAAACCACTTTTAACTCAAGGCCAGTTAAAATGACACAGGGGTGTTTCTCAAATAAATAATTCAATTAAATGTGCATTTTCTTTTACATATTGCAATTTTTTTTGCATTATATACTTTTTCAATTGAGAAGAAAAATTTATATTTTGACTTGTTAACAAACTTAAAATTCTTAATCGGCTCTTACCAATTTGAGGTTGGGTATCACTGGTTGATATCATATCTGTTTTGTTACAGTTTGTTGAAATAAATTACTTTAATAATTAAAAAAAAAATTGTTAGTTTATTTTACCGCTATAATTTTCCTACTAATTTCAATTCACAATGTTCAATGAGAACCTTTGAAAATACAGAATTTTCTTTAAAGTTTAGTCCAGTTGGCAAAGTGTTAGAATAGAAGCATTATATTAATGATAGGGGTATACATATATTATGACTAATTGTTGTAAAATATTATTTAGCATTTATTCAAGAAAAAAAAATTGTACTCAGTATTTCTTCATTAATCTATAAGAATGCTATAATTTATTTAGATACATCATTCATTTATTCAATTGTGAAATTGATTTATAAATATTTAGTTTAAAAATGAAATAAAAATACTATAACTGTGATAACTCTAAAATAAGAACCTGTAATTCTGGTATTCATTGTATTCCCCATAGTTGTAATAACTATCTGGATAGCTTCTGTTGTTGTCCATACCAATGTTCAAATATTTCACAGCTCTGTCTTTGGTTTCTGTAAAACAATTAATATTAATTAATACTATTATTCATGGATTTTGAAGCATAAATTTAATGGCATTAGTTAAAATTAATGATTATGATTATTTGTCAATATTTTTTATAATTTCTATGAAATTGTAGTTGCGGATGGAGCAAATGACGTGAATGATTGGTTATAAAATTATTTGAAAGAATCAATATTAATGTTACTTTATCTATTATCAAGAATATGATTTTAATTTAAAATTTTATTTCTCACTAAAATAACAAAAGAAGTTATCATTATAATTTATCAGCATTTTACTGTGATATGATTTTATTATAAATATTTTCCACCTTACCGCACTAATTCTCTCATAGCAAGAAAACAATAAAGTTGTAATGATATGAAGTAAAAGTTAATAAATAATAGAAAAATATTTACCTTTTATTATTTTCAAAGACTTTGAAATGGCATATTTTTTTAAAAACCAATTTTTACTGTTATAATGTCTGATTTTTAGTAAGAGTTATAGTTTTTCACCTTCATGTAATACTATCATTGGATCACATTTTGATAAATCTCTGTTTCTTGGATGAGACTATAACAGATAATTAGAGTGTAGATTTTAATAAACATTTAATGAACATATTAATTAGACATTATAAAAAAAATAGTCTTAAAAGTTTATTGTTACAGATAACTATAGCCTATCAAGTTCTTTATATAAACTCAAAACAGTTTTTCTTTTGATTCCCTTCTTTGGGTTTAGAAATGATAAATACTTTAATATATCAATTCCATCATTTTAATATTTTCTCTAGAGGTTTGTTCATTTTTGGTTTGACTCTTCCATCTTCTTTTATGCTTCTTATTATTCCAATTCCAGGAAGATATTTCCTTTCTGCTAAGACCTGCACCACTGCATAATACACTGTCCTCTAGACTTTTTTACCAGCAACCAATCTATTCTCCTGAGTCGATTCTGATCTGTTCTTTTGCCGTTGTGAGAGATTTCAATATTTTGAGAGGGGGGTATATCTTTCTACTACACCAGTACTTTATATTCTCGATGTTGGTGCCTATTTAAGTTCCCATAAGGGTCATCACACATACAGTCATGACCACCAGACTTTGTTTGTAGATATGTTTTTGAAATCAGTTGAGGCTGGTGTTCTCCTTAAAAATGGTCAAGCCCTTCTTTTTCAGCACTAGAACGAGCTTATAGCAGTCACAGAAGATATAGTTTGATTACCTATTTAAAGTGGAAGGAATTGAAGAATATTTAAAGAAATAGCTTCTTTACAAAATATCTATCAAGCTCTTCAGCAGCTTTATGACAGTTTTTTTATGTCAAACTTTAAATTATAAAAGATTATTCTATTTTGGCAGATTCACCCCACAAGCCCCCTCTACTTCTTGATTCCGCTAGTGATTTAAGCTGTACGAAAAATTAATGAAAGAAGTACCTGATCATTTTTAATATTGAATAGAACTGAGACGTATCAAGATATATTCAGTCATCAATTTTGCTGGAATGCATTACTTCTAATCTGCCAAAACCTTACAAAAGTATCAAAAATATGACAGGAAAGAACTACAATAATCTTACTTTACAATCATTCAAAGAACCTGTGAATGCTCAACATACTCAAATAATGGAGTATAAATGTATAAATTGTCAATAATGAGCTCAAGCAAAAAGATAAATTAGAAAGGAGTGTACATAACGGTGGACTCATATTCTATGTGAGTTTCTCCAGAGGCATAAAAAATACCATGTAGTGTAGTTGATATTTTTTCAAGGAATGTTGAAATATTAGCCTCCAGATTAACATTCCTTTGATACTTACTAAAAATGTTTCTTGTTTTATTATTTGTTAAAAAAATTTAACAAAATGAATGTTTTAATAATCTGTACATATGTATATATTTTTTCATATATTACTGTAAAGTAACTGTTGTACTTAATTATGTATATATAATACCCATTTATCTGCAATTTAGAATATAAAAAAAAAATTTTTAGTAGAACACAATGTCTCATAAGAATGATAATTAGAGACCAGATCTTAGTGCAGTAAAAATCTGAAAAAGGTGCAGCAAAAAACTCAAAACTTGCAAAATCGTGCTATAAAAACCCAAAATATGTAAAATTGTCTAATTTACCCCTAAAAAGTGCATAAATCATCTATTTTGTTTAATTTATAATATTAATACATCTAAATCCTATACTAACCTTATTTTAAGCTTCTGAATTAAAATATTGTGTCACAATAAAATAATTAAAATGCAAAATTGAAAATTAAAGTCCATATTACAACCAACTAACGACAGTACATAATCTAATACAACAATAAATTAAGATCAACCTAAATTCTAAAGAAAGAGGAATTAAAAAAAAATAAGGACTAACATAAATAATAAAAAATATAAAGATGATTCACAAAAAGGTCTCAATAATTAACAGACAAATAATTAAATATATTTGCATAAATTTACCTTAAATTGTCTAATTGACTGGCACATGTAAGGAATGAATTAATGTAGATGAACTTAAAAAGATTAAAGATATGAAGGATAAGTATATATTATATAAACCAGACCAATGATTTCAGATATTTAATTTTAATTAAAAATAATATGTATTCATACATAAATATAAATTGTCTATGTTTATATCCATGAAAAGTTTATTTTTTAATCAAGTTGAAATTTACAATGCTATTATACATTTCGAAATTTCTTTCTGAAAAATTATTTCTCCTATCACTTAATAGGTAAGGCCTTTAATTAAGAAAGAGAGCGTTCAACATGAACTGATATAAGGGGACTCATTTTGTAATGAACCACTGCTGGTTCTTTGTCAACATTAACATTTATACTGTTAATGCAGTCGTTATATTTTTATATAAGAGCGTAATCTGTGTATGTTTCTATTACGGAGTAAAATTTTGGATATATAATTTTTCCTATTTCACTGTTGACTTTTTAAAGATTTTCTCCTACAGTTTCTATAATTTCAATTTGTTTATTAAGTGACAAATTTCGAGATTTCAACTGAGTTAATGTTTGCAGAAATTTGACAAATGTGAGTTTATGAATGTCAAATTGGATATTATTGACATTTACATACGATTCAGAAGGGATACTGAAGGACTTAAAGAAGAGTAAGAATTCCAGTCAAAACAAGGAAGGCAGTTTTTTTTTATTGAATTACATTAAGCAAGTTCTATTCCACGAATAGTCTGTCTGCACTTGTGTTTACTTTGTACTTTTCTAAAACTAAATTTGAATCTTTAGCAGTCATAGAATCATTTATCTTCCTCATATTTTTCCTTCTTAAATTATAAATTTAATATGGACAAGATAATAAAATAAAAAAGTAAATATTCACATATATATTTATATTTATGAATCATTTAATCTACTTTGAGATGTACAAAAATGTGCAATTTAATGAAGAAAAAACTCAAAATCTTGCAATTTAAGCTGAAAACGGCAATTCGTGCAATATAACATTTAAATATGTTATTCTTCAGATCTTGAAACGGATAGATATTTGGATTCGGGGTTAATATAGATGAGTGATTAAAATTTGCAATAACATGGAAATCCGGTCTCTAATGATATTGTAGTACATAAGAAAATTCATATCTGGTCAGGAACAAATATTGAGATACGCTTTTTGTCAGCAATGGATAAAACATTTATATGATAATACAATGGATGATGATACATTGAATGATTTATATTATGATACAATGAATTATGATACATAAATTATGATATTACAAAAACATTTTAATTTATAATAATAACATCTAAGAACAGATTTTTTATCTGTTACTTGAGTGGTAAACTGCAAACTAATTGAAAAAAAATTTAAATAACAAAAGTAATATTTCTATAAACTCATTTAAAAATCTGGTTCTTTTATTTATTCTTTTCCTTGCTTTTCTCTTTTTTATGAAATATCTTCATTTTATTTTTAATTATATTTAATTTTGATACCATACATTTAAATACTAATCTAATCAATCTTAATAATCTTTCAGTTTGGTTGATGAAGCTGCTATTAATGCTATATCGTATGAAAATATTATTAAGTTTATTTATCACTTTTTCTAGTGTAGAGAAAAAAACAAAAGGAGAAGAAAATAGAATATAGAAAGATAAAGATAATAAATATTATATAGAAAGAAGATGCCCACGTATCTAAAGGTTCCCTCAAGGTAGATGGCTTTAAACCTCCTCCCCCGCAAAAAAAAATTTCTCTTTTAAGAACTTTTCCAACAAAAATATGACCCTCTTAAAAATTTTCATTGTACATCTTGTGCCATGCCACCCATTTCACAGCACTTGATGTGCTCCACAAACTGCACATTCTGAAAAAGCTCAGATGTTTCAACAGTTTTTGTAGTATTTCCTTTGCCTCTGTATCCATTGTCCTCTGCTGAAATTAAGATCTTTGTCCCAGTTAATTGGAATTATTAGTGATCATTAAAATTATTACTGATTTAATTGGATCAAGACTGTTGAAACAAGCTCACTCACAAGATAAACTTCCCAACAGGTCTGTTTCACTAGGGTTCAAGTTTTACGGTGGAATAGATAGCCCAGAGTTCGTCAGCGGGATTTATTACCCACAATCGATGGCATTCAAATTACCATTAATATCTGAAAATGAAAAGGATCCGTCTCTGTTGACAAGGACCTAAACTTCATAAGGAAAGGACCCATTGGTGTTTGTTAACATCTTGAGCAAGTGTAGCTGATGGGAGTCTGAAAGTCGTGATTTAATTAAAGCAGTGATGGATTTGATCACCAATAATAAACTCAAATAACCTCAAGGTAGGATCTGATCTAACATAAAAATATTTAGATTAAGAAGGTAGTCTTCCATTATGGGCATGCAGGTAGTAGGGTAGTCTTCAGGGCGTGCACAGCATAGCTACAGCTTTTGTGTAGGTTCATTTTGATGACCCCTGACTGACGAAAGCTGATCAATTTCAGTTATTAACTTGTGATAACATATGACTACAATTTATAAACTTCCTTTCTTATCACATAATTACTCCAATAAATTCAATAAATCAAATCAATAAATTCCCTTTTATGTAAGGTGTAAAACTTTCACCAATAAATATCACTGGTTTTCCATTTAATATTTTTAATACCCCTTTTGTGAATTTCATAAACAACAAGAAAAATCTATGTTCCATTGCTGTATGATTTATTTTGGTTACATTTTTTTCACAAAAGAGTCATGCTATTATATAATGTTAATGCTTTGCCATATTATGTTATTGAAGCATGATTTTTATAGATATATTATTTACTTTATTGCTGCATTATAAGATTGTAAAAAAGGAATAATATGATTGGTCAGACTTCATTTCGTTGGCCAAAGCTATTCGAAATTTCAAACACTTCTAGTTTTAGCATTAAATATATAACTACTGTTAAATATGTATTCATTATATATTTTTGTCATTATATATAAATTATTTGTGTACTTACTTTCAATAGCAGTGTGATAATAAATATTACTAGAATCAAACATAATGTAAACATTAAATTTTAGAATTTTAAATACCAATACTAATTGTGAAATGTACAGTGTGTTGACATAATTGAGTTTATTCCTGAAATCATATGCCTTAAGTATTTTAATTAGTGGTTTGGTGAAATCATATGTTTTACAAATATAATCAAGTTTTTATTTTTTTTTTAATGTATATTTAATATTAATTCAAATAATGGAAAGTGTATTCTTAGTAAATGAATTAGAATAATGAATGCCTGCATGTATTCATTATGGTATTACAAATCAGTTTCATTCCTTACGAAATTATTGTATATAAAATATGCCAATTTTGTTCTATATTTTATTTGAGGCCAATTATGATTACTTGAAATGATAGAATTCCTGGAGTTTTGTATTATATAATTATAATGTGTATAATTTCATATGATTATTATTTATATCATGATATTTCTATTGAGAGCAGTAAAAAGGCCTAATGTCAAAAATAATAGTTGTTTAAAGGAGCCAATTAAATGTTTAGTAGTTGCACTATAATACACTGTAAACTGATGTTTCTCCAGATTCATTTACATGGAATTTAAAGAATTGGAAAGTCATTAATTTTAATTAATATTTAGAAATGCCAATTTACAATAAATCACTGAACATTTTATTATATGTATGTGTGGTTATTTATTGTTCTTCCTTGGCTAATCCCATATAAGGACCATTTATTGGATATACATTCATAATATCCCATGCTTTCCAGAGGTATATTACATGATGCATGTGAATGATTTCAAGAGTTCTATGTATATTAAGTAAGAAATATATTTGACTTTAGCTTTGTTTCTCATTAAGTTGGTAATTCTAAAACAGTCTTCAGAAATTCTATTGATAAATGACTTTAAATCTATCTATTTATCATTCTTTTTCCATTTTTGTAAAAGGGTTGAACAGTTGTCCACAGTATTTGAACAGATGATGGATGTACTTACTTTAGAAGATATCTTGTTGGTCCAAAAATAGTTAAAATATGATGATTTTTCTTTGATTCAGCTTCCAGGAAAGGGAAGAAGATGGTGACTAGTTAAACAAGAGTGATAATAAATAAGATTTTTTAAATAATTGGAAGATTATTAGTAGATTAATATTGCTTTTAAATTTTAGTGAATGTACTGAAAAGTACACATTGGAGGAAACTAATTGATATGATAGAGTGTCTGTTTTTAGGAAAACCATAATGCCGCTGGAGAAAGGATGGGATTAATAAATAGTTCTTAATAAGATATAATAACTAATATAATATAACACTGGCGTTTTTCTATTTTTTACTATTATTAGTACAATCTACATGATTAGTCAGCATTTTTTTTTGCTATGAATAATTTCAAAACCTAGAATGAATAATGAAAAAATAGCTCCAAAACTGAAAAGTGCATATGCTAATGCCAGTGGTTCCATGCTGAGACTTAAGGCATCTTGCTTCCAGTTACATTCTGGTTTTTTGACCAACCAATGCTCCAATTGTCGCTTAAGAATCCCTCTTTCCCTCATTACTGCAAATCTAAAAAAAAAAAATTAAGATTTTGTTTATTTTTTTTCAAACTTTTTATAGACAAAACTACAAAATAAATGTCAATGATTTTAGTCAAATTTAACTTTGAAGAACTTTCATTAACATGGATTCTTCCTTCTTGAATTGTTATTTTGAATAACTTAATATAGTAAGATTTAAATATTTTCCAAAAAAAACATTTAAAGTTTTAAAAATAATTTTATTCATGGAATCCAGTTTATCCCCTTGAGAGAGTAAAGTTTAATTTGTTGCTAAAAATTAAAAAAAAAAATGTACTGAAAAGCTTTTACAGGAGATTTTTGAATAAGTATGTTATTTACAGTTTTGTGAATATTTTAATGTCAGTCTCTTGACTTCAAAAGTAACTTGTATAGCTCTTTCTGGATAGGTTCCCCTTAATCCTTAGGGTGCTAGCAGAAACAGTTTTGTAGTAAGAATTTTAAACTAATTATTGCTCTTGGAGGGAGTACAAAATAAAAATACTCACGCTCTGTTAAACAACTCTTTGTATGGAGAATTTTTCTTTGCAACTGCACCTACGTGAAAAGGGTTGTATTTCAGCACTTCAGACACTGAACAAACTTCTGCATCAGTCATCTGGTGCAGTATTTCTGTATAAATTGCTTCATCTTCAGTGAATAAAGCAAATTTTCCTTTCTTTATCATTCTAACTCCATCTGGTACAGTGTAGAAGATTTGTTTGGGCTTTGCTTTTGCTATTTTTTCTCTTACTCTTATTGTCATATTATCATTCTGTATCTGTAAATTTTCAATATATTCTTAAAAAGCTAATTGATGGAACTTAATTATACAAGCAGCACCATATCTCTTATATATCATATCATATCATATAAGAGATATGATATAACATCATATTTTCGTCAAAAGGATATAAAAAAAAAGAAGATAAATGAACAAACCAATTCATTACGAAGGTAAGGTATGTCCAACATGCCCAATTTGATATCACTTTTTAGCAACTGCTCTATGTCCTGAATTGCATTTGGGGCTGGTAGCAAGAGACCATTCAAAATTGCTGTATTATAGTAAACTGCTACGAAGAAGGATACAATGAGCAGGAATATATAGACTATTCTTGTTGAAATCTTTTCTGTATTATCTGGGATTCCTTGAAAAAAAATTTCAAATGGTAAAAATAATTTTTAATAAATTATTTTCAATAAATAAATTATTGTGAGCTTTTTACTTCCTTATTTTGTATTTCTTAATTATGCAACTAATTTGTCATCTTGGTTTAGAACGTTTTTTATGTTGACTTCAGCTTACTTTTATTTCTGCATTATCGCACCATATTAATTGTTAAAAGATTGTTTTTCAATATTTGAATATAAATTTATTTACAATACATTTCTTTTCAATGTTATAGTTGTAAATTTTATTATTGTATAATTTAAATTTATCTTATATGAATCACTTCCATATTTTCATTTATTTTTATTCAAGTTTTGTCAAAATTAAATTTAAATTAGCTATAATTATATAGGCCAGAAGATTAGAAAGAGGAACAGCCAGTCGATACAGCTTTGGTTTCACAAAGCATTTCATGAGTAGATTCCTATCTAATGGAATCAAGGTAAATTTTAAAAAGATGCTGCACCCTTATCTATGGATCAGAAGCATGTGCCTTCACTAAAGCGTAGAGATAAGATTCTTGGTTTTTGAAAGATCTATGTTAGGAAAACATTTTGATTCAGTTAGAGAGGGCAATATCTGTAGAAACAGAAAAACATGGAGCTTGAGAGTATGTACAGAGGTACTGATATTAGTTTATCAAGTTTGGAAGACACCTATGGGCTGGCCATGTATAGATAGTGTGGAGTTGCGAGATTAACTAGAAGGTCATACATAAGGAGCTACATGGCAAGAAAAGAGTGGGAAGGCCGAACATTAGATGGTTGGAAGCTGTCTCTAAGTATGCCAGGGCTCTTCTGGACAACTGGAAGTGGAAGGCTGTGGCAGTGGACCTGGAGACTGATGGAGGCTGTTGGAAGATGCCTGAACTAAACTGGCTGTAGAGCCAACAAAAAATTTCACTAAACTGTATATCCAGACAACCAGTTAGTATGTTTGATATTGCTGAAAGTCTAGGTCTACAGCCCTGGCCTGTTACCTCTTCAGATGTGTATCCAACAGTTGAAGATAGGAAATTTGTGAGTGAAAATGTTTACAGGGTGTTAACAGACTGAAAAGAATCATTTACAGCTAAAATTATAATTAATAAGGTTCCAATTGAATTTGAAATTGACTCAGGGTGTTCAAAAACTCTAATGAGCCGGATATTGGCCGGACATTCAAAGAGCCTTCTGCAATACTGAGGTCGTCCCAGAACTGAAACAACCAAGGTTCAAGAACATGCAGTTCTCAGACTTCACTGATAATTGGAGAGTTGAATGCCTCACCTACCTTCAAACAAATATGTATTGACTTGCCAGTGTTGGTTGTGGATGATGTTGGTCCTAATTTGCAATTAGATTCTTTCAATATGTTGAAATATTAACAATTAATCTATCCATAAATTAGTTGGAAAGTAAGTTATTCTAAATGAGTTATTTATGTGTGTTATATATATATATATATATATATATATATATATATATATATATATATATATATATATATATTTGATGAGAAGGAGTTAGTGGAGGGTGCGGTCAAATAAATAATAAATTAAAATATATTAATTATTTTAATTTTTGCCCATATATTTTAATATAATATATTTTAATTTATTATTTATTTGACCGCACCCTGGACTAACTCCTTCTCATATTATATCAACGGTCAACCATCTCTACATCATATATATTTGATGTTGAAAGAAGGAAGAGGGCGCTTTCCTGTCCTGTTACGCCCATGTAAACAACTATAATCTGAAACCTAAACTGAAATACAAGTACAAGGTGATCTTAAACATCTCTAATTTAAATTTGAATAAGTTTTTAAGATATTATTTTCATTAATAATTAGTTATTAAGCTTCTTTATTCGTGTTAATAAAATTAAATTAAAGTTTATTCGTGGCAATACCCTCCCCTCCTCTTCATACTCTGCTTTATCGTATCGACTGTGGTACTCGTACTCACCTTGTTGGCTTATAGCGCCCACAACCAGAAGAGCGCTCCCTCCCCAGCTATCGTTGCTGAGACCAGTGTTGTCATACTTAGCCAAGATTCTGAAAACTATGATAGACAGTACGCCTAACACAGCGAGGCACACCCACACTATTTCATCTAGCGGCAAAACGAGAGCTTTAGCAGAACCAAAGAGTTTCGGCTGTAAGAATGTGAAGCAGCATCTGAAATGTTTATAGATTAGAATAATGTTATTCTTTTTTGTATTTGGTTGTCCAGAAAATAATGCAGGATTGCATGTTCTCTTTACATTAACCCTCAATAAAGCAAATTGTACGTTTGAGAGATTACTCTTTTTTATGGGTGTAAACACTTAACCAGTCTGTTTATGAATAAAAAACGTTTAATATATGTTTTATCTTCTATAACGTTTTCTTAGTTTAAAATAATTCAGTCTTAAAATGACAAAGTATAATTTTCGTATAGTTTTGTTTCACACAAATGGATTAACATTAATGAAGTCAAGGAAGTGTGGGTGGGTGTACCGTTTAACGATGGTTAAAAACATTTCGAGTGGGAGTCTTCAGGCTTGAAGATGACGACAGTCGTGGATGGACTTCTTCCCTTGATGACGATGTCCTGTGAGCTTGGGTTGAAGAAAATTATAGAGCAACTGTTTTAGAACATATAGAGAAACTCTCAGCTAGCCAAGCGACTATCGTTGACCACCTCAACGCAATTGGAAACGTAAAGAAACTTGAACTTGGGTTTGCCATGCATTGAACAACCACTAAACATGTGTACGTTCTGAAGTTCGCGTTGCACTTCTTTGCCGAAACAGACACAATAATCTAGTCAAATTAGAGATGTAACCTTGTAAAAGGTTGGCTAATTCCAATTAATTTTTTAAATTGTTAATGTAAATTTTTTGTATGTAGTGAATATAAAAATTTCTTGTTTCCGCCCTTGAAAGCATTGTGGGTTCGCTGCAGTGCTCCAAGGACCATTGAAGTTCAACGTTTTTGGTTTACGCTAAAATTTGAAGTTACTGTTTAAAGTGACACAGATAAAAAATGGTTTTATCCAGTCTAAAACAGCATAAGATTATCTATCATTTTTTCTAAAACGAACAGAAAACGAATTGTCGAACTTTCAATGTGGATAAAGTTTTGAATAGTCGCAAAAGACATGCATAATTTTTGTTTTTAATTAATTAGCTGTTTTTTATTGACTGGAACGGTAGACGGTAGTCTTTTCTCCTACACCATGCTTACTTTTCAAAAAGCTCCAGACTACCGTCCACAGTTCCAGTCAATGGCTCTTTATCATCAACGAAAACCTTCAAATTCTAAGGACGAGGAAATGGAGTTGGAGAATTCCTCCGTTAAAGACTGAAGGGGTACTATTGTGAAGAAATCGATCAGTTTTGAGATGGTAACAATCTATAAGAACATAAATTTATGTAACCTTAATAAAATTAATTTTTAAAAATGTGTTACAATAAGCTTATTCAAATAACAAGAAAAACAGAAATTGTTGTTGACCAAATTGATTTAAAATGAGTGTAAAATAGTAAAAATGGAATTTTTCCAATTTAATAAAATCAATTTCTTTTTAGCGATTTGTATTGAAATTATTAAGGTTAGAAAATATGTTTCATATAAAAGCTGTTGTAGCTTGCGCGTGCTTTTGTATTTAATCCAAACATTTGAGCTCTTGTCACCTATGAAAACAGATAATTAGTTTAAAACGAAAATCATGCACGTTTTTTACGACTATTCAAAACTTTATCCACATAGACAGTTCGTTTAAGAAAAAAAATTGATAATCTTAAGATTGTATATAAACATTTTTTATTTATATCAATTTAAAAAGTAGACATTGGTTGTAAACCAATATACATTGAAATTTCAATGTTTGTTGGAGCAAACACACAAGTTTTCAAGGGCGGAAAAATAGATTTTTTATATTCAATACATATGTAACAATATAAAAAAGTAATTTGAATTATCCTATCTTTTGCAAGGTAACATGTCTAATTTGACTGGGCGGTGGTTTCTGTTTCGGCAAAGAAGTGCAGTGCTTCAGAACTTCAGAACGAACACTTGTTTGGCGGTTGTTTATTCCACCAGAAACCTAAGTTTCAAATTTCCAATTGCGTTGAGGTGGTCAGTAATGGTCTATTTGCTAACTATATGTTTAAATACCTAGTTCTGCCATAAATACTGTTACAAAAGTTGAACTTTGTTTACATTCTTGGGTATTATTTAGATACTTCTTACCTCTATCAGGTTATTTTCTTTACATGTCAGGATAATAAACCAAATTGGTTTTGTATTTTTCTTTCGCTCAGTTAACATGGAGTGGGGTGATAAATAAAACCGAATAGCTGTGATCGCCTTACACAAAGATGGAAAATATAGGTCAGAGATTTTCAAGACTGAAACCTTTGGGTATCAACCGTTTGTTCGTGTACCGTACTATAAATGTATATAATGAGACCCTATCTGTATGTGACGGACCTCGACCGTCCCCGCACATTGAGAGCGGCTAATGCGGTTAGAGCAGTGGCTACTCGAATCCGAAGAAATTCCATTCGAAAACAACAAATCATGTCTCGAGAAATGGGAATCACTATCGAATCAATGTCTCGCATGATAAAAAGGTACCTCAGGATGGGTGCATTTCGAAGAATGACAGGACAAAGGCTAACCTCTAAAGAAGCCCAGGAAATCATTGAAAGAATGGAAAGAGGTCATCACCCTTCCTCACTGATGGTTTGATGGGTATTTGGCTATGATGGCACCACAAAGCTCCATTTTGTGAAAAAAACTATCAGAACGATATTTTGGAACATGTTGTCAAGCCTCTAAATGATACTCTGTTTGCTGTCATTGAGTTTTCCAGCCGGATTCTGTTCCAGCTCACAAGGCCAGGTCAACTCAGCAGTGGCTATAAAAGAACATTCCAGAGTTCATCTCTGTCTTGGATTGACCTTCAGGAAGCTCTGATCTCAACCCACCGAACATTTAACCGAAGCCCTGGTCTCAACCCACTAGATTATCGGTTTTGGTCCGAACTGGAGATGATGGCATGCCACAGAGCACATCCTAACTTGGAAAGCCTCAAGCAATCCCTGATCCGAGTAGTTGAGCTTTCCTCAAGAAGTGCTACGTGCTGCTATTGACGACTAGCCACGGAGATTAAATGCCTATGTCAAGACAAAAGGGGAAATTTTTGAGTAATTTATTGTTTGTTTTACTCTCTATTGATATACATTTTATTATCTAATAAATTTTTTGAAAAAATGAACTTTTTTGTTGAAATCTGTAAATATTTCCTTGCAACAATATTTACGATAGGATTAGGTATAGTTAGGTACATAAAAAAAAAAAATCAGAATTCCGACCTTTTTGCAAGCTAGCTCCCCTTTTGTCCTACTTTGTTGACTGGGCTAAAAAGCTCTCCTGCTCTATTCTCCAGGCCTCTCACCTACCGACTACATTTTTTGTAGGCATCTAGGCCACTTAGATATCGATTTTATTGATCACAATTCTTTAGAATGTTGCCAGAAATGTATTGCGAGTAATGGAGCATATTTTTATTATTAAAATTAGTTTCGTATCATTTATTTTATTTTAAAACCATAAACCTCCATTGATTTTCGGACAACCCAGTATTATACATTGAGATGCACTATCGATGACGCACTTACTTCACGATATGCATAGAATTTATGAAATCGATGACATCGAATCTCTGTACGACGTATTTGGCTGGGGCCAGTCCGAACTCTGCTTCTCCTCTCGCTACCTGGCCCACCATCCCTGTCCAGGACCCATCAGGTTGTGGGTCACCCCAAGCGTTAGTAAGGATATAATTATATCTGGAGCACACCAAATCATAATTATATGTATTAATGTTTTAAAAAACAACAACAGATTATGTGTGGTAATTGTATTTACTCACGTGAAATTATATAGTTCTGCGACATGTAAGAATACTGCTAGACCATATCTACGTACCATGTCTTTTCCGGGTTCATACGTCTTGTCTAAGAGTGGTTCTAGAAGGTTGCTTTCATTGAACTTAATATCAATCATCTACGCATAATGGAAAAAATGTCAGGAAAGTTAAATTGATTAAATAGTTACAAACTCAACGGAATGCTTTTGAACATGCAAATGCAAAATTTTGGCTTGTTATTTGAATAAAAATAAAGGTGGCTGGACTTCTGGTCAAATTGCATTTCGTTTGTGCGATGGAACGTCGTGTGTTTAGTTCCCGCTTTTTCTCGGGGACGTAACCACATCAGGTTCTCAACCCGCAAAGCGAGACAAAACAGGAAATAAATAATAATAAGTTAGTCTCGTCTAGATCACCTTCAATTCACGGGAAGAGAGTGAGGACTTTCTTGCTGAAGCGCCCCAAAATGGATTTTTTTTTTCATAGGTCCATATTTGCTTCTGTGAGTGATCTGACATAAATACTTAAAAAATAAAAATATAAAGTCGGTAGTACAGACCCCTTTTTATCGGATTATTATCATTAGCTTCTTCTTATCGTAACCTGCAAATATTTAATTTACGAAAATTTTCGGAATTGGAGCGTTTTTAATGTGAAGGTCGGCAAACTTTGTCTATTTAATTAGGTACTAAAAACTCGTAAATACCCATTTGCTTTCCACTTGAATCGTAAGATAACTTGAGCACAAAGTCAAGAAAAAAGGTAGCCTTCAAAAATATTGAGCCGTTTGGCCTAAATCCTCAAATTGTCAAAATAACGAGATTATATAGGTCAAACGACCCAATATTTTTGTAGACCTTTTTTCTTGACTTTGTGCTCAAGTTTTTCTTTCGATTCAAGAGGAAAGCAAATGTAAAAAGAGTATTTACGAGTTTTTAGTACCTAATTAAACAAAGTTTGCCGACCTCCAGATTAAAAATGCCCTAATTCCAAGAAATTTCCTAAATATAATATTTGTAGGTCACGATGAGATGAAGTTATTTATGAAGTTTCAGCCGGATGTAAATAATTCGATAAAAAGGGGTCTGTACCACGGACTAATAACTACGGTTAAAAAGAAATTATCTTATAGTTGACCGTTACATTATAAAGGAAGGAGATGGTCCGGGGTGGCGGTCATAAATAGGCTAAATACTGACAAAACAATTTCATTAAAAGCCAAAGTTTTGTCCCGACTTTGCAGGTCTTCTTCAGGGAGGTGTGTTCAGCTAGGATTTTCACTTTGAACTGAACTAAGAACTCAGTTCTTAGTGAAACTCCTAGCTGAACACACCTCACTGAAGAAGACCTGCAAAGTCGGGTCAAAACTTTGGCTTTTAATGAAATAGTTTTGCCAGTATTTAGCCTATTTATGACCGCCATCCCGGACCATCTGCTTCCTTTTAAAAACATTATCCCTAAAATCATTATTGTTCATGCTGACAGATTTTATTTATTTTGGCAGATCTTCGAAGACCACTTAAACATTGTTTTATATAGTTTATTTTTTTTTCTTATTGTCCTCAATCATCGAATTTGGGGAAGGCATACTATTTATTACCAATTCTAAAACTCGAAATTTTCTTGAATCCTCATCATCGGATTGCAGAAAACATACAAACGGCCATTTTAACATGATTATATTATAATCTACAATCACCATGATGGATGCTGTGAATGTGAAGCCGCCGAAGTCCCTCCTATCCATGGAAGGGTTTATCTGGACCAATCCATCCGTCATGTTCCAGGCAGCCACCAGTTGGGTCCTCAACTCGCTGGAGATGTGGATCCTGTGAATATCAAAGATCTCCAGCCCCGGTTTCACCACCTTCACATCGCTGTCGGCTGACAGCCTGGTATCCTCGAATATAGTGAAGTTCTCCTCCTCGGACCATACGATCCAAGAGTAGCTAGCGTTGAACAGGTCATTGGTCTGTTAGGAAGAAATCGGCATTTTATTTATGTCCCTTGTACATTCAATATTAAGATTTATAATAATATAATAGTGTATTTTTTTCAACTGCTGGAATGTCAAATACCATTCGAGAGAAAGTAGTAGTTCGCAAAAAATAAATTTTGATAATATAAAAAATATATTTACTTGAGGAGTATTTAAATGTAACAAATAAGCGTGCATTCTAATTAATATAATTGACATGCGAAGAAGCTATCCAGCACAATCTGTCTTTTCAGGCGTCACGGAGAATAACTATAATCGGTTCGAAATCAAGTCAAAAAATGTTTTAATTCCAAAGTGTTTTATAAAATTTACATTTTTTTTTACTTTATAATTACTTCATTTCTTTTTATCAAATTCAGTTTAGTAATTTAGTTTGAGAAGAGGATGATTTTTTTTAGTAAACCTTAAAAAATGCAAAATATTTCTCTATAGATTTTGAAGTTATATATCATTCAATTTAACTGAGAGAAACTAATTCAGCCCTCTGGTTTAGAGAAAGAATGAAATGAATCAAAATTGTACAAAGCGGACTAAAATTCATTAATAACTTCAGATTGGTTATGGTAAGCCTGGGTTAACGTAACGAAATTTTTGGACTTCATAAGAATCGGTCGTTTTTTTTCGTGAAACTTTGTGTTTTTAACTATGAGCTTTTATCTATGAGGTTTTATCTGAAACCGTTTGCTCATCTTCAAATATCCACCAGGCCTTTGAAATTGGTTCTTTTTAGGTCATATTTTTAGACTAATGGGTGCAATAAATAAATTAATTGAGTGTAGTTTATTTATTCTACTATTTTTCACCATCACACAGCTCTTAATCTGTACATAAGACAGCATATATATGTATATTATGTAAGCCAATGTATACACATGTATGTTGTCTTATATACAGATTAAGAGCTGTGTAATAACGAAAATTGCGAAAAGTGAGTTTTTCTGTATAGTTTCGGAGTTTAATCATTAAGTTATAATTGCTCTAGCCTTTGAATGGTTGAAGATAATATAGTAAAATAGTATATATTCTTAAAGAAAATTTAATATTAAACTACTTTCTTCCTCATGATTTTTTCTTAAAATGGAAAGTTAAAGACTTGGCGAGTCAATTAATAATAAAAATGCGATGCAAAAAAATTGTTTTTTTTTTCGAAATTACGATGACATATATCACGGAAACTATAGCATATAGCGAAAAAAATAGTGTAACCATTTCAATTGCAAAATTCGTCAGCTTATGACTTCTATTTCACTTATGACATTATTATAAATAGAAGGTATAGTTTCAGCGATATAAGAGAAAAACCGTAAAACAAGTAAACTTTTTTTGAATCGTAAATTCAATTTTTCTATTTGAAATCCACAGTTATGTGGTAACTAACTACTATTTCATGTCTTAAGACTGTAAATACTATAAATTAAAAGGGTTGTTAGCTTGCTATATCTATAAGCCCTCTCTATATTTACGATTACTACCGATTATATAGTGTCTCTATCTATCTTCACCTGGCCACCATTTTGTATTCCAGCGGCTAAATGCTGGCAGACGTTATTTAGTCGGAAATATGGCAACTTTTTTTTTGCAACTGGCTCCAGGACGTTTTAGTTTTAAGTTTCGAATTAATCTCGAATGTAGCAGATCTTTGTTTTTGAAACAACGGTTTACCCTTAATGAAGATGTAAAAATTTATTAAACGAATTATAATAAACCACATTTTATATTACATAGTTATTTATAACAATACTTATCTTGATACCAATTTACATGAAGACAAACTAGAGGAATTACATACAAATATTGAATAATGTGGAATACAATATATGCCCTTACATAATTAAAAAAGAAAAGGCCATTGTCGCAAGACGTGTCCAAGAAAATTCCCAACCTGGATGGTTGCCAATATGACATCAGCAGTTCACTAGGTTCTCTGAAGTCTCGGTTATGCCTGATGTTGTATTTAGGACCGCTTGGTGTGAACTTTTTGAACGCCTTCACTGCATCTATAGATGTCATATTAGTAAAAATCAGATATGGTCAAACATTCAATATTTAATTATTACTGCTTCAGTAGGTATAATTATTATTCAGTAGGTTTCGAAGTAATTATTCTAAACTTATTTTAAAATATGGTCTCAGGTCCTCCAGACTTTCTTTCGCCTGAGATTTTATTGTATTAGTATTGAATGCTAAAAAAAAAATATTTTATTTAACAAATAAAATAATATATCTTTTGTGTTTTTTAAAATTTAATTTTCAATTAAATTCAATAATGAATTAGTTTAAAAAATAATAAATTAAAAATTAAGTACAAATCCAATAGGTTATCGATTTCAAGAGAAACATAAAACTTAACCCAAAATTCTACAAATAAAAACGTATGCAACAATTTTTTTTATTTATCGAAAATTAACTCATTCCGCCACATTGGAGAGCATTAATATTAGAGCTACAATATCCAGCAATAATAAACAATTTGGAAACTAAAAAAATCATCAACGATTTGAGTTATTTATTGTCAGAGTATCATCAATTTTAGGCATCATAAAGCTTAACTTGATTCCGCTGTCCTGTGCAACGTGAGCTTTCATCTTTACTGCCATAATCGTAGTTAATTATTTGTTCAAGATCGCGTTTCTTCTTGTTTTGATTGAAAAATTCAATAACAATTGTTAAAAAAATTGTTATTTTACAATGAACGAGCTACAAAGATATTTTTATCCTTGACTGTTCTGGAACGTACTTCTGTACTACCAGTGGGTACGCTTAGATGTCTTGGAAAGCCCTGCTTTAAAATATTGCATCACTTGCCTATTACAGTATGGATTACCTCAATGAAATGATTTAATAAGTAAATAATGTACTTTTTGGATTGAAGTATCCATCAGAAATTAGAAACATTTCAATATATAAATACTATGTGTAAAGTTTTTTTTTTTAATTCTATAGCTTTTCGGTTCAAACCTTCCAACTTGCAAAAATACAAGTGCGCCCCGAATAGCCCCTTGAAATAGTACTCTATCACATGATGGATACCATCTGGAACATTGCAGGAACAGGTTGACCAGGTCCCTCCATAGTACAGAACAAACAGAATTATTCTGTGCAGTTCCATCATGGACTGGATAGCTTACTTTTTCCTGTTGCTGACATATCGATTCATGTCGTCGGTGCTTTCATTATTGAGAGGCAATGACATGTCCTAAGCACCTGTTACTGAAATCTTAATCAAAGCTCTTTTGAGGAGTTATCACGAAACTTTTTATGCTGCGATTTCTTTACCCTGATTGATGGTTGTTTTTCTACTCCGTTGTCAACTTCAAAACAGTGCTTTGCACTTATCAAATACCTTCAAGACCGAAACTAGTATTTTTGCCAGGGAGAAGGCATGCTTAATTTTGTTTCCTGTTTTTAAGGCAGCAGTTTCATAACTGTATTTTAATAATATTTCGAAATCAACATAAACATAATCTTTTAATATTAATTAATTTTATTGAGTTAATCAAAGCCAAACCCTTGTGAAAACAAACAAATATTCTCTACTCACCTTAAAAGTAAAACTTCGCTCGGAATATGCTGCCCACGAATTTCTGCTGACAAGGCAAACGTACTTTTTGTGTTTTTTATACTCCTAATAGATTAGTAAATACATGACCGAAACAAAAGGTACGATTTACATGAAATAAGTATGAATGTATGAGTAGTAATTAAAGCAAAATTAACAGATATCGTTGTGTTATGACCAAGTACGTATTTAACTAAGGTACCAATGTAAAATATTTTATTACATTGCATTTACGAGTTATGGAGCATTAATACCCTGTCTGATTTTACATATATGGTTTAAATGGATTATCGGGCTCAAAACTGGTTTAAGCCGTTTTCATAATATTCAATGATTAAATTATTGAGTGTATTGAATTTATACTATTAAATACATAGTTAGATATGCTCGGGATAACTTTCTTTAACTGAAAAAAATATTCTGTTATTCATTACCAATAAATAACTGTGGCTGTTGTACTTCTGCCTTTATAGAAGTTATCCTGTTGAAAATATCAAAGCTTAATGTTTTACTTCAACCTTTTTTCTTCATTCAAAAGTCAAAATAATTAGAATTAACTGTATGCTAATTTATATCGTTAATAACGTTATAATATTGTTTTCTGGGTGTATTCGACAAGTCAGGTTGGCCGAGCGGTCTAAGGCGCCAGATTTAAGCTCTGGTTCCCGATGGGAGCGTGGGTTCGAACCCCACACCTGACAGAACTTTTTTTTTATATTTTGTCTTATTGTTAATATATTTATTATATACTAGTTGGAAAACATTCATAATATACCAAATTTATTTATTCATAAATTCCAACATAATTATAGATTTTTTTTTTTTTAAAATAAATACCATATTTATATTTTTTGATCAAATACCCAAAACTTCAGACAGAACCTGTCATGTTATAAAATTTGAAAGTCAACTCTACTAAAGATATATGATACAATGGAACTTTGAATTTTTTTTTACAGTATTTGTAATTCTCATTTATGTATTTTATATTTATTAATGATTTTAATTTGGTTATATTACTACTGATATTTCTAATCTAAAAAGCATATCCATATAAATACATTTATTATTAACCTATAGAAGACTTTATTATTATTATTTTTTTTTTACCATCTTGTCAAGTCTAGTTACAAAATTTAACTTTCTACATGGTATTACTTTGTTTTTATTTTTTTCTAGTCTTATCAATGGATTTTAAAAGTATATAAAAAATATTTTTGGACTGGAACAATTATTTTGATTATGACCGACTTCTATAGGAAGACTACCTTTTATTAAATTAAATTTATTGATTGAAAATGGCTCATTAAATAATTTATTTATTTCTCTAAAACATAATAATCTCTAAATTAAGTTCTGTTGTTCTGTTGTACCATATGCTTAGGAATCCAAAAATTATTTCAAAATCACAAGTAAATAGTTAGGCCATAAACATTGCAGTTTTCATAGAACAAATGTGCAATTGAAAAATTTAATTTCCTGAAAAATCATTACTTTTTTGTTCTTTTCACACTTTTGACTACCCACACTAAAATATTTGAACTGCTTCACCATACCTACCTTGTATATTAAGCAAGCAACACATAGTTGATTAATATTATTATTGGTCACTAGTAGGAAATTCATAGTAGTTATTTTCTCAACTTCAGTAAATTACCTTTGTTATAGGCTGTGACCTTTATTATGTGATGTGATATAAGCTATTTTAAAGCTTATATATTTAATTGAGATAGCAATTAAGACTTGACCATCAGCAGTGATTTTCTTTTTAAACACAATATTAATTGCTGAAACTACATTTGAAATAAAAACTATAAAATATGATTGATGTAGAGATGGTTGACCGTTGATATAATATGAGAAGGAGTTAGTCGAGAGTGCGGTCAAATAAATAACAAATTAAAATATATTAATTATTTTAATTTTTGCCGACGTTTCGACCCACTTTGCAGGTCGTCTTCAGGGCTACAAAAGATACAAAGCATGTTGAAAATAAAAAATAAATATAAGTATATATAAAATAAGAAGAAGTTGTCAGATACAGAAAAAAAAGATGGTATCAGAGATATAGTGGGTGACAATGTAGTTAAATATTAAGAATTATATATGTAGAAGATACAAATAAATGGAAAATTTATATTTTATTTTCAACATGTTTTGTATCTTTTGTAGCCCTGAAGACGACCTGCAAAGTGGGTCGAAACGTCAGCAAAAATTAAAATAATTAATATATTTTAATTTATTATTTATTTGACCGCACCCACGACTAACTCCTTCTCATATAAAATATGATTGTATTTTATAGTCTGTTATCCTGATTGACTTTCTTTATCTATGATTGTTTTAATTATTTGTTTATAAAATGATTGCACTTGTTTAATAAAATACAAATAAAAGTTTATTTATTTTAAATATGAATAATAATATTTCAATTCTTTGAAAACAAACTTTTCTTCTCTAATTGCCTGTAGATTTTTCATAGCATTGAGAAATGTTATTTTGTAACTTTTTGCACTTTTATTTAATAATATTTCAATTCTTTGAAAACAAACATTTCTTCTCTAATTGCCTGTAGATTTTTCATAGCATTAAGAAATGTTATTTTGTAACTTTTTGCACTTTTATTTAATACTTTTGGCCATAAATTTATTCAAACTTTCAACTCAGATGTTGGCAAAACATGTTCCTGAAGAATGATACAAGAAAACAGAAAAAAATTATTCTGACTTGTAAAATTAGAATGAATTCATAGAATGAGATAGCACTCACGTCTGTAAATTCTAATTAAGCACAAGGTTCATGCTGATGAGTTTGATTGTCTATATTACTAATTATGTGGTGGTTCAAAATAAACAGGTATTGAAGGCATTAATTTAAAGTAAAGTAAATTCAAATTAATAATGTAGCCCTCAATAACAACTAATACTTGATATACTAGATATAATGATAATACTGTTTAAACAATTTAATGACAATTCTGAAATTAATATATTTTATTCTCTTTCTTTAATAAACATGTTTTTTTAATACATGTCATAAAGAATTATCTTAATCCTAGTTTACACCACATGTAATAATTATGTTTACAAACTAGATAATGATGATCGCAGTTCATTTATTTTGAGAAAATACGAAATGATTGTTATTTGTCAGTATATTAGTTTCATTCTTGTTTATAAATATTTTCTTTTTCTTTTCTTTTTTTTCATTCTTTATTTAGTGGAAATAGTTCTTTTCAAAAGATATGTTTTTATTTACATATATTGCTTACTTGTTGCCTTAGAACAAGGTTCTCCAAACTTTTTGGCATGCAGGCCGCATTGATACCTACCTACACTAAGTCCCG